GATGCGATTAGTACGCGTGTGTGGGTAGTTTTTAGGGGATGGTTGGGGGATCGGGAAATAGGAAGTGGAGGAAGCACACTGCGTTGCCAATTATGACAAATGCATGAAATCGAGTTCAAGCTGAATATCCCCATCGACGCCACGGGGACACCAGTCGAATGCGAATTTTCCCTCTGCTTATCGCAATGTGCAGGTGTGTCCTTTCGTGTGCGTCATCTGACTCCTTTATACCCCCAATCCCAACCCCCCTGAAGATGTGGGAGGAACTTCCAACCCAAGATTTAATTTAATCTACATTCGATTTTCTGGCGAGGCTTCCGCTTTAAAGATTATTAAGTCCAAAAGACAGCCCAAGGCATCGGAAAAAGAAGGAAAAGATGGGAAATGGAGGTGGTTGTCCACAACACATATCAAAATGCAATTCATTAACTTTGTAACCTCAGAAACGAGCTGACCACAGACCAATAAAACCAGAATGAAATATTTACAAAAAGGTTGCCTCTTGTCGCAAGTGCAGCCAATTTTGCTATTGAAGTCAAGCTGTGACAAATATATATGTATGCATCCATATAAGTTGTCTATATATATATAAATATATATGTATCCTTATAAATGGCAGACATGGGTGGTGCGGTAAATCTTTTGGGATAAATGGTAGGGTGATATCATATCGAGTTAAACTGAAATTGACATTGCTGTCAAATGAGCCAGACAATAATGATGATTATGTGCATACCATAGAGTTATTATTAATTTGCATGGCTGCTCAAGCACAAATATATAAATATTCATACACCGGTTATATAGCAGGTGCATATAAATTTAAAGTGATTTTTTGATATGGGATTTATTGCATAAATTCAAACCAAAATATTATTTTTCTTGCTATGTAAATTCAGAATACATTACCATAAGGAAACTCCTATACTAAAAACTTATGATTAAGGATAAATAAGTAGCTGTTATAATAATAAATGTTTATTTGTCATTTCGGTTATTTGTCTGCATATGGGTAATTTAGGTCGATTGTTTGAATCAAACCCGAAATTCCTGATTGTATTCCATGAAAGGCCGTATTGTATGTGTCTGGCACAAGTTTGGTGTTCTTTAATTTATGCAAATTTGGCCCACAGTCAGACGACGGGCTTTGTTTATCTACCCATTGTATTTGCCCCTCAAAATGCATTCTACAGCCTGCGTGTATGTGTGTGTGGTTGTTTAATATTTAAACAATAATTTGCTGTTCGTCTCTCGAGGGAGAAGCTGCAATATAGAGAGCATGTCCATGCACAAATTTGGGTCATGGTGAGCATTTGTTATGATTATTAATAATGCTACTAATGGTCTTGTTGTTGTTGTTGCTGTTGCTGTCCCCAATATATGGGTATTAGACAAGTTCACACTGAATTTGCATGGCTTTGGGCTATGAGTTGAACAAAAAATACACTCAAAATACAGACATTGGATGAAATACGGTGACACGGAGCGTATGAGCAATGTGTGCTTAATTTGATGGGAAAATAATTAAAGCCATTAAAGTATTAATCTTTTGCATGCCCGACTGCACGGCTCATTGGGTGCACACATAAGTAATTTCATTCCGACTCATTATCTCGTTTGATTTGATTTGCCGTTAATCAAAACAAAACAAAGCTCAAAAACACACACTCCAAAGTCATCCGTTTCGTCTATATGATATGTCTTCGTGTGTGCCAAGGACAAACATTGTAAGGATTCGACAGCTGGCTGACGTCTTACCCCCAACACATCCACCCCTCCACTTACTTCCCCCTTGGCAATTTACACGCACAGTCGAATTCAGACCGCGTTGGCGAAATATTAACCAAATTAGTTAAATACCAGAAAAATGCATTCAAAATTGAGTTTAACCCTCAGACGTGAAAGCTCTTTCGCCCACGTAAAAGCCCAATAAACTGGGAGCCAGAAAGTTTTTTTCCGTCTGTGAAAAAAAAAAGTTTGTAGAACTGAAGGCAGCTGAATGGGTTGAAATATGGAGGAACTTGTTTGGGGCGTGCCCACGTGGGGATTATTAAATCACACAAGGTGTTGCAGGTCCTTGCCAAAGAATATCAAGATGGAAACAAAAGGGATGTTAAATATTCATAGTTGGAGGAAACTTTTAGTATCATGCTTCTTCCGCGAAATGGTCAATCAAATAATTTGGATACCAAAATGCTGTTTATTATGAAGATCTTTTTGTAAGATTTGCTGTTTTAAAATTTAATATTTAAAATAAAATTCCTTCAAAAAGTTCTGCTATCTTTAAGTTTATATTTCGCAACATCTCAAATTAGGTTTATTATGGACGCCACGTGGAGGGGCAAGGGACACCCCTAGCATGTGTGCCCTGCCATGGAATGTGGCACACTGCCAGCAAAGGGCAATGGCAGCTAGTCGAAAAAATAATAGAAATATAGGGTGGAAAAAACAGCATGGCGATGGTAAAAAAAAAACACATCGCGGCCTTATCATTGCACATTTCAGTGTTGGTGTAACAATTACGCCAAAGCCAACAACATTTGGCAAACATTCAAAAACGCCAGAAGCCAAAATATATATGTATGTACCTATGCACAGGGACTCCCCTCATTTCCCCCCGATCAAAACCCAAAAAAAAAAATGCAGCCCTTCGACCAACTCAAACTCATCCGGCGCTCTGTTTTCCTGCTACAAATGTTTTTGATAATATGCAACATTGCAACAAACTAACCAACAACGAGGGCTTCCAGCAAACACACACGAAAATAAATGAAAATGTTTATACTCAATGTATATGCATATACACTCGAGGTCAAAAAACTGGCAGAGAAAATGTATTTTTCAGAACATCTGGAATTTTTCAAGATTATAATTGCGGATATATGATATACATTTTCCCGATATAATAATATATTTATTGGTTGTTATATATTAATATAGAACTTTTACTTTAACCACAAGTGTGCATATCGTATGATATGCAAGTTGCACATATACACATAATTGCTTTGTTTACTGGGGTCTGGGCAAAAGGGAAAGCAAAGCGGAGTGGAAATAGGCACACCGACCCCTTTTTTGTCTCTGGCCCTCGCCATAGATAAACCCGTCCAAAGGGGTCGGCCCCAAAATGCAGGCTACAATGGGAACTCAAGGACCTTGTTCCACAGCCAAGGGGCGCTGAGGCATACATATGTATGCCATATGTATGCAGATTAATCTGCATAAGTATTAGCTGGAAAACGAGCTGCCGAAAAAGCGAAAGCTGTTTCCCTCCAAAAGTGAGCCAGCGTTTTGCTAATAACTAAGCTCATAATCATAAAGTGCATTTCAAAGTGTGTTATTTTAGCTTGTTTGTGCAATAATAATATAAAAGTTTTCATAATACTGGTAATCGACCGACTTTGCCCTGGTTTTTTCACCTTTAAATAAATATAAAAATTTTTGTATACCCAATTTTTTCACAATCTAAAATAATGTTCGCTGTCAATTTAGTTTCGTTCCATTACTTTTGCACGCAAAACCTTTTTATACAATCGTCGACAATAACTAAAATAAAATAATTGAAATCAATAAAAACTTATGTAACCACATTTTTTTTTGCAATTATTGCGATCAGTTTTTCTATGCATAAACAGTAGTCGCACTGCCGCCGCAAAAACTTAAAGTGGCAAATAGAAATGCATTAAAATTACATAACGCTGACAGACGCTAAGGGCTGCAGCAACAATTTATTAAATTAATTTTGGTTTAACATTACAAATGCCATTAAGAAGTGAAAAATAGTGCGCTGCATGAGATAAATTTAAAATGCTAATTGCATTTGAGGATAAATCTCACATGGCAAAATACACACACATGTATGCAGACAGCTGTGTATAAATGCTCTTCATTAACATTGCTGCGGCGAAATAGTCATGTAAATTTCATTAGGAATGCGATACGCAAATGAGGTCAGTTAGTCAGAGTGAGATTCTGATTCCGATTCAGATTCAGAAATGGGATAAAAAAGGATTCGTTGGGCTGTCCTGTCGTCATCTCTCTCGGCCTCCCTGAATCGAATTTAATTGCAACATTCCTGGGACAGGACTTTTTGCATTAAAACAAACGAGCGAATAAACTTGCAAGTGAAAAGAAAGCAAATTCTGCATAACTCGAAGGCAGCAAAACAGTTGATCCAGACATAAACTGGGTGACATCTGCCCAGAAGAACTGGGAATCCGAATCCGAATACATTGCAACTGGCCAACTGGATGTGTGCAAACGGGAAATAGGCAAAAACCAAGGACTCATGTCACCGACACACTCTCATCCATGCAAGTGTGTCAAGGAGCAAAAACAAGGACAAAACAAAAGCAGTGCAGGCCATAAAAAACACATAAATGGATCTCCAAATACTTTGAGATATCCGAACAGAAAACAACACATCAACAACCAACGTTCAAAAGCACAAAGAAAATCTTTACAGATGAAAGGAAAATACTACAAATAAGTAAAGGAATTTAAATGGATTTATAAAAACTTCGTAAGTTATAAAAATCTAATAGAAATATAAAAAAGTATTCAATTACAATTAAAATATATTTTAAAAATCTATAATAATTTATTATTTGATATGTAGTTATATAAGGAATTTGCCTGGTACTTAGAAGTCCAATTTGAGGCACCTTAATGTCAAGACATTTGTCCATTCAAATGCTCACCCGGGGTCGAACTAATCGCAGACATTTGTGAGCAACTTGGAGCCACTTAATCGTGGGAGTCATCGATTTCGAGTTAGGGGCAATTAACCACGCCCCAGGACGACCAACTGACGGGTTCACAACGCCCTAATTGAGAGATGCTCGCCGTGTACATGCTAATCAAGTGGGCGTGCCAATTGTCCAGTGTGTGTGGCAATAGTAAATTATTAAATCATCGATATCGCAGGGTTGTGGGTTGAGCATTAATTTTGGGATCTATATATATAGGTCCAACGTAGTGGAAAATTGGACAATTTCAAGATGGCACCGAAGAAGGAGCTCAGAACTCAGGAGCCAGAAGGAGCGAAACCCATTCCACTGGACAGCTTTCTGAAGTATGCCAATGTGTTCTATCTGTCGATTGGAATGCTGGCCTACGATCACAAGGACAGTGGCAAAAGGAAGGAGCAATTGCTCCACTGGATGTTCGTGGGTCAGATGCTGAACCTGAATGCAGTGCTCATCTCGGAACTGATCTACGTATTCCTGGCGATCGGCAGGGGTAGCAACTTCCTGGAGGCCACCATGAATCTATCCTTCATTGGTTTTGTGGTCGTTGGGGATCTGAAGATCTGGCACATTTGGCGTCAGCGGAAGAGACTCACGCAAGTGGTGAACGAACTGGAGCATTTGCACCCGGTGCGCTTGGATCAGCAGTCGCCCTATAATGTAAAGTACCACCTGAGTGGCTATAGCCGATATAGCAAGTTCTATTTTGGCATGCACTTGGTGCTGATCTGGACCTACAACCTCTATTGGGCCGTCTACTATCTGATTTGTGACTTGTGGCTGGGAATACGTAAATTCGAGAGGATGCTGCCCTACTATTGCTGGGTGCCCTGGAACTGGAGCACTGGATCTAGCTACTATTTGATGTATGTCTCGCAGAATTTGGCCGGGCAGGCGTGTCTCTCTGGTCAGCTGGCAGCGGATATGCTGATGTGCGCCCTGGTCACTCTGGTGGTGATGCACTTCATCCGCCTTTCGGGACACATTGAGGGGCATGTGGCGGGAGTCGTGTCACCCAAGCGGGACATGGAGTTTCTCCAGGCTGTGGTGGCCTATCATCAGAGGTTATTGGTATTGTGTCAGAACATCAACGAGATCTTCGGCGTCTCGCTGCTGTGCAACTTCGTGTCCTCGTCCTTCATCATCTGCTTCGTGGGTTTCCAGATGACCATCGGTGGCAAGATCGACAACCTGGTGATGCTCGTCCTCTTTCTCTTTTGCGCCATGGTGCAGGTCTTCATGATAGCCACACACGCCCAGCGGCTCATCGATGCGGTGAGTTTGATATTAGTGGTAATATTTTATGAAATATTTTATCGGTTTAGGAAAAATATAGAATATATATAAAATATATTTCCTTACTTACAATGCGGTGCAAAAAAAAAAAAAAAAAATTAAAAAAAATATATATATGGTTTACGATTTGCCTTCAAGGGTATCACTCATACGCACTGTTGCATTCGATTGAAAAGTTATTTTCGTTACGGGTTGTAGATTTTAAGCAAAACTTTTTTTCTCTTCCTTTCTAAGACCAATTATTCCAACCAAATTCATATTTTGACAAGGCTTAAATGGGAAAAAGATTTTGTTCGACTAAATTGGAACTGCCATACGTGGCGAATGAGTAATTTTTAGGGAAACAAGGAAATGCAACGCCTAAATATAAAAATTAATTTTTTAGTTTTCGAATTCAATTTGTTCACAACGAAATAAACCATTTATAACGGTGAGAATATGATTATATTTTGTACACATATTAGTTAATTTAAAGTCACCAGAAATTTATCTCCTGTTCTAAATAGTATATCCGATGAACCTCTCTGCAAGTGCTATAAATTTGGGTTTTGTAAACATTACTAAAATCGTAAGTAAATAAATAATTAATTTAATTTCAGAGTGAAGATATTGGTCAAGCGGTCTACAACCACGACTGGTTCCATGCTGACTTACGTTACCGCAAAATGCTAGTTCTGATTGTCAAGAGGGCCCAACGACCCAGTCGCCTGAAGGCAACAATATTCCTCAATGTCTCACTGGTCACCGTATCGGATGTAAGTTTAAATGAATTCGTTTTCACTCACATTTAATTGTGAGTTTTTAATTTCTTACAGCTCCTACAACTATCCTACAAATTCTTTGCTCTTTTGCGCACAATGTATAGCACCTGAGGTAGATGCCTTTTGTGATTATGGCCACAATTTAAGAGCCAACATCATGTGGCAGTGACATTGTGTGGACAAAAGGGGCAAATCATCGCTGGCCAATAACTTACGCCAGTTGCCGCACAGAGTTGTGGTTTTTAATTAAAGTAGTAGCTGAAATGATTAGCGCGAATCGCAGGTCACGGAACAAATCGAAGGGCGGTCAACTAACCGCAGTAGCAATGATTAATTATCGCCATTTCGTTTGCACAAAGGGCCAATTCCAGATGCCAGACTCCACCAGTCTCTTTCTCTCCAAAAATCACCAATTCCCACCTCGTGACCAATTTAATTAAAGATTCCCCAATCCTACCTGTGCTTGAACTTGCTAGGAGGCTACCACTATCAGGGATGCAAAGCAAAAAGAGCAAAAGTGGGTTAATGAATTAATAGTTTATCAATTAGAAAACCCAGAATTAGAAAACCTAATTCAATTAACAAGAATTTGTTATCAAAAATTCACTACATTCATTTAATCAGAAGAAATGAATGATATAGTTTAGTAAATAGTGTAGTGGCTTGTGATTTTTTGAAACACCAATTTTTACTAACTTTTTTTAGACATCTTTACTAACCAGCCCTGTTTAAAATCAATCGTGTGATTATCCATTTAGGCACTGATGCACTTAAAAGTAATTTCGAAATATCTTTCCGCCCAGCGAAGTGGCTGGCAAATTTCATTTTTTATGAATATTTAATTGAAAAGTTGACACAAACAGACAACAGTCCGTGGATTTCCGGGGTTGGGGCTTAGAGGGCCAGGCTAATTACATTTCTACGGCTGTCGGCTGATAGATGAGAACGGGCCAGGACGGGACCAACCTGCCAGTCAGATGGATGGCAAAATTGAAGAATTTTTTCAATTAAAATTACTAAAAACGAGCAAGGAAAAGAAGTCGGCTCATGACCAAATGGAAATCAAATTGGGCTCAGTCTGCAGAGGATGGGATCTAAACAGGAAAAAAATGTGTGACATATAATTGCAAAATTTATCAAAGTAGAAAATTAGTTAAGTGCTTAATTTGCTGGGCTTTAAAAATAACAAGAGAGAACGCTATAGTCGGGTTGTTGTCCCGACTATCTAATACCCGTCACTCAGCTAAAGGGAGTGCGAACGCTGTGTCGGGTTGGTGTCCCGACTAATAATCGTTACTCAGCTAAAGGGAGTGCGAGGGAGATAGATATATAATTTTTGATTGCGTATAACTTTTTAATGAATGGTCCGATTTGAAAAATGTCTTCTACATTTCGATAGGTATAAATATACACAACAAAATTGCATTTATACTTCTCGGAAATCTTTAAAGATGTGGGCGCAGGACCCATTTTAAAATCGTTAGTGGGCGATTGTGGGCGTTAGAGGGGGTGTGGCGCTCGGCTAAAATAAACTTGCGCTGCGTAGGAAGCCAAAGAATATGTGTGGGAAATCTCAACCTTCTAGCTTTTGTAGTTTCTGAGATCTCAGCGTTCATACAGACGGACAGACGGACAGACGGACATGGCTAGATCGACTCGGCTAGTGACCCTGATCAAGAATATATATACTTTATGGGGTCGGAAACGCTTCCTTCTAGCTGTTACATACTTTTGCACGAATCTAGTATACCCTTTTACTCTACGAGTAACGGGTATAAAAATATTATTTTTAGTAAAAACACTTCATATAGTTTTTTTTTTTAACAATATAAATAAACTGCAATATTTTTTCGAGTGCAAAGGTTAGGCGTGGTCTTTAGGGCCCTCCCCAATATAATTAGAAATAACGCGCGTCACGAACTTGACTTTGCCAGTGTGAATTTAGAATCGGCTGAGGATGCGGATGCAGAACCGAATGTCGATGCCTATGGAAATTGGCAGGGAGTGGATGGCCGGCTCATTGCCACGGAAATGCCCAAATAGTTTCGACTAATTTCATTTGCGTTTGCAGTTTTCACTTGCCCAAGTTGAGCGAGCAAAAAGTTTCCTTTCGACTGTCATTCCCAGTTCACTGGTTCCTCATTCCTATTTAAAAAGAGAACTGAATGGGTGGTAAACCGCAGGCATTCTTAGTGGGTTCCAAACCGCCATTAATCAGTGTAATTGCAGGGACACCAATTGCAGTACGAAGAAAGGTGGATTGACCAAACCACCTTAGCCAATTAGAGGGGAAAATAAGTGACTGATTCAACATACTTAAATATATCTTAACATTTTTATAAGCAAGAAATATAAGTTCGTAAAAATAACTCCCCATCAGAAAACGTATTTTAAATTGAAGAGCGCCTTTGGTTATACTTAAACTTCCTTCCACTGGCACTAGTTTTTACTCTGGAAGTGCATACTCGTTACCCTGTTTGTGTGGGCCTCATTCAATTTATATTTATACATCGCCGAAGTCAAATAAATTAATTTGGACGTACTCTGTGTGTGTTTCTCCTACGCGAAAAAGAAACCCAATGGGTCTGCGAGTCGGAGAAATATTGGCTTTTAAAAATGTCAATATACCAAGCAGCGTGCGCTGATTTGGCAAGAAAATTGCAATTGCAACCAACTTTTTTGCGTTCAGTTGCGTTGCTCGTTGAGAAATTGTATTTCGTTTCATCAAATGAAGAGAAATCGTACATTTTTATAAGGCCAGTAGAATGGAGAATGGGGATGCTGCAGGACTGGAGGAGACTGGGGTCTGAAGGGGAATAGAGTTGGCTACCATTGTCCAGAGTTTGGCGCCATAGTTGCTGCTCCTTCTTCTTCATCAGATTTATCCCGGACAGGGGGCTTCAAGGGGTGCGGATCAGGAAGCACGTCACTTTGGCTGTTATTGAATTTGACATATTTCCGCACAGTGTGTGTGAGTTCAGTTGTGCGGCACAGTGGGTCCTCGTGAATTGAAAAACCAAAAAAAGGGGGGAACTAAGATAGTAAATAAAATAAAGGTAATAAAGATTTGCACAACAAATTATAAGAGGGTAAAAACTTTAAAATAGGAATCAAATCAGCCAAGTTATGCAGTCTTCAAATATAATTTGGGGTCACCTTTCTTAAAAATTTAAATGAAAATGTGTGATCTACTAGCTTTTAGAAGTTTAACAAACTATAATATCAACCAAGTGTTCCTGTTTATAGACTATGAATATCCACAAACTGTTTAAGGTGGAAAAATGGGAATCAAATAGGACTTAAAATGCAATTCTGGGTCACCTTTCTTACAAATGGTAAGACTTCAAATTTAAATGGAAAAAAGTACTTACTTATTTTTAGTTGTTTAATAAACCTTAAAATCTTTCAATCTTTATAGATTAATAAATATGCATTTTTGAGTCACCTTTTTTGATAAATCGAATTGAAGAAATCACATTTGCACGAGTGCCCACTGTCCTTGTGCACGCGTATGTGTGAGAGTTGCTCCCGCCAAGGGATTAGCGTCATTGCCATTTTTGGCGTATTTCTCATGTGCCCTAAGCTCGCTAGTCGGATGTGACCCCGCCACGCCTCCTTTGCCAGCCGCCCTTGCAATGCATTTTAGCCGTCTTGCGGGTGTGCCTCTGTGTGTATTTGTCAATTTTCACTCACTTCATTTAAGTAAACACATTTGCTGCATTTCATATTTCCAGTCACGTTCTGAGCATAAATAACACACACAGAAACGCCGCCATACAAATGTGAACGCGAGTTTAACTAGTTCCCAGTTATAAATTCGCAAATTTAAGTCAAGTTTTATAGCTTTAGTTTGGAAACATAACTGATAGTGGTTTTAATGACTTCAAAAATTTAAGAAACCTGATTTTGAGATCGTATTGTTTTCGAAATATAGCAAAAAGTCAGGTTTAAGACACGAAAAAAGCAAAGATATCTAAAAATGCACTTTCCAATACCTACTTAACATTATTCATTTTTCAAGCTTAACATTTTCATTTACAAATCTACCGATTTATATTCCTGCACGTTCTGAGAACATTCCCTTCGTGCGTGCTGTAGTGCATATTCCTCGGGTTGACTTAGTTTAGTTGACGATGGTTGTCATAGATTGAAAAGAGGAACCGAGCATCTAATACTGAAGTTATGTACTTGTTGTGAACTGAGAGTGTCGAGTCTGTTTACAATCCATTTTCTGACTCCCTGCCATGGTATCCAAACTCCCTTCTCTACGCTCTTTTTGCATAGAAGTGAACTTTGAAAATATTTGAACCGCGTGTCGGTGGCTGCTGAAATTAAATTTAGGACTATCTGGTTGCTAGCCATTTTCGGATATTGTGCGGCTGCTCGTGCTTTTTCGCCATATTTCCCTATTTATTTTGGCCGAAAGTTGGCAAAGAAAATTCTTGGCCAAAGATAAACAATTAACGACCCTTTTTCAATAACTAAACAATTTTGGGTTTCCTTTACCCGCGAATATTTTTGCAACGGCTGCTCTCTGTGGGCAAAAGAGGGGTTTGCATATTGCTACGCGATATCGACGTCGTCTGGCGCCAGAGCCCACCGCAAAAATTTAAATTAAATCTAAACTGCATGGAAGTTTGGCGTTATAAGACCCCAATTTAAGAGATACAGAACGTGATATTTTCTGATTAATCTATTTAAATAACAATAAAGTCGAAAAGGTAACAAGTAATTAAAAAATTAATTAAAATAAAACTGACATTTAAAGCTTAAATTAAGTTATGTTGAACTTTCATAACATTTTCATAGTTTTAATTAGCTTTTATGCAATTAAATTGCCACCAATAATTTCTGTGTAAATTGATTTCGTTTTTTTTATGTAGACGTTGTGGTAAACTTTAAATTATTATGAAAAATAATTTTGTGCATTGAGATTACGTCCTAGGTATGGAAACCTAAGCTAAATAATTAACTAACAAATTGGAGAGGTTAATTAAAAGTTTATTTGCTTGTCGGACAGGAACCCAATATAGAACCCATTTTCTTTACTTTACAAATATTCTGACTAGAATTAATTGCCTTACAAACAGCAATTTAAGCCCGAATGAAATATTAATCCAGACTTTGAGCAATCACAAATTCTCAATCCCATTGTAAGCTCAGGTATTTTGTGTGAATGTAAATAAGCAAATGCTTCCGTTTTTAGTTTTCCAATTTCGAACAGAGCTTGGGCCAATATTAAAGCATTTACTGCTGCTTGGATGGAAATTTAAATTTCTTAACGCCGCAAAACGGTAAGCTTACAAATCCAAACAATAAACAAGAAACAATTGCTCCCAAGCAACAATAACAGGAGCAACAACAATATCGGCAGCAGTCGCATTGGATAACAATGGGAATTTTCCATATTGCTGAAATGCAATTGCAAAATGCTGCTTACAGGCTTCGCACACACACACACACACACACACACACAGAGCAGGGAAAACATAAATAAACGTAACCATCAATGGTTCAATTCTCCATGCAACTGCATGATTGTGCAGGGGGGCACTTCCGGGAATTCCGGGGGCTCCAAAAGGATGCTACATGGGGCAGAACTTTTGGGTACCGCAATCGACAGAAAAATATTACATATTTATTTTGAATTTTATATACACACAAAGATGGGTTAGGTTCAATATCGCTTTATAATTTTACTGTATTCATTAAAATCTTGAAATAAGTTTTTTGATTAAGCTGAAAACTTAAGATTTTTACTGCTGTCCCGCTAAATAAAAACATTTTTATCTACCTACTTTTCTAGTCAAGAAAATATATTTTAAAAAATTAATTTAAATTTACCTTCAATTCGAAATCCTTTATATTTCCAGACTGCTTATATCCTTCAGCGTGGAATCGTAATGATTTTGGATGTTTGTTTACCTCTTTGTACTTGCATTCAATTGTTGGTACAGACAAAACCAGCAAACGGAGAGAAAACGGGACCATGCTAAACTCACTGGAATCCTAGTCCTTGCTGCTGAAATAAAACGTTAAACAATAAATAATACTTGTAACACACGACTGAAACAGACAAACAACGCGTTCTACCATAGACTGTAAAAATCAACAACCGAATGCCAGATGAGTTGGAAACTCTTCTCGCTTCAAGGATACGTGTCCCTCTATCTTGGATGTATATTAACTAGCTCGATTAAAATGTGTTCCTCCTCAACTTAATTAATCATTAAAAAAACAATAATTAATAAAAGAATATTTTCAGAATATTTGTGATGGGTATAAGCATAAAGAAAGCTTTCCTAACTCTTAAAATAGTGCTTTTCAGGTTATTTTTCCTGCTGCCCATTTAGAAACTGATGTGATTCCGTAACCGAGTGCCTAATAAACCCCGTATATTTTATATGCCCGGGCAGGAGGACAATGGGCGGAATCACACATGAGCATGGCATCACATTTTCATCAACAGGAATCTGTTTTATCGCACTTCCCCATTCCGGGGAACACATCTACATTTTATTAGCCCTGCAGCTATTCGTTCACATAATTCGATGGCGCCCCTACTTGTCTATTTTTACTGTCCTTGGGTTTATTGCCACCACCTGTCCCCCAGACCCCTGACTCCCAACTCCTTGCTCCATTGCGCAAATCCAATGAGCGAATGATGGTGGGTATTTGTCCTGATTTAATTAAAGCCACCCAACAACAACACCACTTTAAGGACAGTGTGCGTATTTACTTATATCAATTTAAATAAATATTCGATGTATTAACAGGGTTTTTCCAGGAAAACATTTAAGAATGTTTGGGAAGTCATATTTTCTGAAGAACTTGGTGTTTTTAAAAGTAGGTGACTTAAATATAAATATAAATTTTAAATGATAATAAATATTTATATTTTTATTTCGAGAATCCAACGAACTAATAAACCTTTTCCAACGAAATACAAGATTTTAATGGCCCAAACAGTCTGTTTGAATTGCACTCACCCCTTGAGATCCGCATATTTTCCAGCTAAGCTAATGCATCTTCTGCGATTGACTGAGTGGCTTTAAAAGGGATGATACGGATCAACAGGCAGCATCAACACAGAATCAAATCGTCAAAAAATTTGATTAGTCGTCACTTGGTCCTGCAATAACTTGGTGTCCTTGGCCACCCAGCTAGCCCCTTCCTTCTGCCAATAGCTTCGATGTGTGCCGGACTCGAGAGGACTCCAGCACTCGATTGTGAAGGACAGGCAAGGCAAAAGTGCTGAGATTGCATATCGATGTGCGGGGAGGGGTGGGAAAAGGGCAGTGGATGTAGGGGCTTGCAAGCAAATAACAAGATTTCACGCTTGATTTTCACATCAAAAGCTGGATAAAGAAATGGGAAAATCTCTGTGTCGTGTGCAAATGAAACGAGGCAGCAAACAGAATGGGGATTGTTTTTCATAGCAGCAAAATTGAAGTTTACAAAGTAACGCATTCGATGGACTTAGAGTAGGTAGGAAATTTAGAGCTCCTCCATGGACTCCAGCTTCAGCAGGCGCTGATCGGCCACGTGCTGCTCCAAGGCGCCCAGCATGGCGTCCAGAAAGTCCGCCAGACTGATTTTCTGATCCAACTCGAAGGCAGCGCTACTGGTGTACTGGGCATGGGCCAGCAGAGGCAACTTTCGCAGCGTTCGTCCACTTACGCCAACGCTCCGCTCGGCCAACTGGGTCAGTAGACCCTCCTCGGCGTCCTCGCCCTCCAGAGCCTCGCGCTGCACAACTCCCGCCGACATAAGCTCCGCCAGCATGGTCTTGTAAATGCTGCGAATGGCCGACATGCCGGGGTAACCGATAAACAGCCGGATGTCGGCGCGATCCAGGAAGGCCAGGTCAATGCTCTGGGCCAGATTGGAGGTGGCCAGGACGAGGACATTGGGACAGTTCTTGATGTCATCCAGCTGCGTCAGCACAGCGTTCACCACGCGCATGGCATCCCTGGGCTCGTTGCTGGACATGGAGCTCCTGGCGTAGGCCAGCGACTCCACCTCGTCGATCAGCACGCAAACCAGATTGTTGCGATCCGCCACCAGTTCGGCGATCTTTGAGAAAAGGCGCGCCACCAGCTTGCCGCTCTCGGAGAACCACTTGGAGAACAGGCTGTGGCTGTTGATCTCCACCAGGTGGGTGTAGGCATAGCTGCCTTGGGTGCGGATGGCCAGCTTCTGGGCCAGAGCCTTGCAGAGGCTCGTCTTGCCCGTGCCCGGTGGTCCATGGAGCAGCAGCAGCCGGTTGCAGGCGATCACATTCATGTTCACGCTGTGCTTGGAGAAGGTCAGAGCGGAAAGGGCAAACTTCAGGAGCTGAAAAGTAGGATTTTAATAGGATTTGATTTGTAATAGCTATCCTAACTTACCTTCTCCTTCAGTCCCACCTCGTAGATGAGGTTCTCCCACAGGCCCACAAACTGAACGGCGGGCAGGAGGACATGATTCGCCTCCACGACGCTACTGAGATCATCGGAATCTCCACTTCCTCTGGCCGGAAAGAGTCCTGCATTGTGCTCCTCCCGCTGGGTCATGTAGAAATGATAGCGATACTTGGTCTCGTTGGGCTGCCACGCCTTTCCATCGCCATTGTCGCGCTCCAGGAGGATGCTTTTCACAGTGGCGAGTTCAATACCCGGCTTGAATGCCACATTTCTGGGCAAATTTTTGAACGACTTCAAGTAATCGCTTAAAATGGGCTCAACTTCGGCGCGAATGGTATTGAGACGACTGGAAAAAGGGGGTTATTTAAACGAAATTCCACTTGTACCGCCGGTAATACTCACATATCGGTGGTTTTCAGGAGAACTTCCACATGAACCGTGCCGCTATTGCTCAAAAAACTCATTTTGCAGCTGAAGAAGCTTTGAAAAAATCCGGCAACAAAGAAATCGAAAATTGAAAAGTGACGCTTGGGCAGTGTGACCAAATTGGGGCAGGGTAAAAATCCAGCACAGTGGGTCGCAAGCATATAATCACTAGGTTTTTTAAATTAATATTATTTTTACTAGACTTCAAGGTCCTAGGATACCATTTATAAAGTTAGCTTAATTAACACATTTATTGCATTCAACACTAGTATTTAATGGTGGACTCCAGGAAGTACTTGTTGAACTTGCGCCAGCCGAAGCGCTGCTTGGGATCCCTTTTGCTCCACGCGGGCGCCAGGTTGGGCATCAGTCCCGCCTTCTGGGCCATGGTCACCAGGGTGCCCATCTTCTTCTGCTGCCGGTGGCACAGGCCGGTGATCCTGCGGGGCAGAATGCAGCCATCGGAGCGGACGTACTGCTGCAGGATCAGCACATCCGTGTGCTTGATGTCCAGGCCCAAGGTGCATTCCGGGCAGAAGTTGGTCTGGCAGGCGGATTTGAGCATTAGGTCGGCACGCGGCGACTCCACATTAACGCCCTCGAAGATCTTCACGTCGCTCTCCTGCTTTTCCTGGACTGCAGGGGGTATTTAATACACAAAACGTATTAGTTTTAATAGTATTCCCCGTTTTGGAGGGGTTATGAAACAGCCTTTTGGAGCGAAACTGAAACTCACTTTCTTTTATCTGCCTGGGCGATGTGGTGGCCACGCTGCGCACCTGTACCATGGAACTCCTGACCGTCCTGGTGGCGATCTTTAGCAGCGAGGACATTGTTAAGGCGTTTTTTATTTAGAATTTATTAAAATTGTGCTCAAATGCAATGTTATTACTCGGCTGGCCATTCACCACGAAAGCCGCAGCGTTGCCACATCGGTGCTAGCGAAGACACATACCATTTTTGGTTGTCGTCTCGAGCCCAGCGGTTCGTGACATGACTGTTTATACCCGTTACTCGTAGAGTGAAAGGGTATATTGTATTCGGGTAAAAGTGTGTAACAGTTTGAACACTGAGATCTCGGAAACTATAAAAGCTAGAAAATGGGACTCACCATGCAGATTCTTGGGGCTCCTACTCAGCGTAAGTTCGATTCATCCGAGCACCACGCCCACATCTTTGTAGATTTTGTAAAAGTTTAAATGCCATTTTGTTGTGCTATCGAAATGTAGAAAAACATTTTAAAATCGGTCAATCCATTAAAAAGTTATGAGCAAAAAATTAAAATGACCGCTAGATGGAGGGAGTAGCTTTGACGACTGCTTAAATCCATCTTCCTCGAACTCTCTTTAGCTGAGTAAACTGGTATCTGAAAGTCAAAGTACTCGACTATAGCGATCCCTTTTGTTTTTAAAGTATAGCCTGAGAATTAGTACGACGAAAACTGATAGCTAAGCGGAGGAGCAAACGAGAGGCAAAATGCTCCAATTGCACAGGAACACAAAATTAAACTTTGTGAAATTTCCACGAACCATTCCAGTTTACCGTGATATTTGGGAGCAAAAGTCCCATACAAACTTATGTTCCAAGCATCACAAACGGCATTCCTAAACGAGGACGGAAGCTACCCTAGCAGATTTCACGAATTAAAATTTGACTACAATAGCAACATGAATTAATAAACAAAATATTTCATAATTCAAAAAATACAATTTTTAAATTTTTCACCTTGTTGTTCCTATGGGGGCTATAGGATATACATAGACGTCCAATCGGAAAGCGCTTTTATGCTGATCAAGGTCTGCACAAAAGAATACGATTTGGAAAGATTCATGTCAATAGCTCTTACACTGCCCCAAAAATCTTCAGTTTTTGCAAGTTATATCCGATATCCGATAACATATAGACGTTCGATCGGGTTGATTTTTAAACTGGATCTGCGTACACATGTTTTTGGACGACTGTGAAAGCAGGGACCGAAAATAACTGTTATTGTAAATTTTTCTTACAAAAAAAATCACGCACTTAGAAGGGTCATAACATTTTTTTAAATACACCACTATTTTTATTAGCCATTGTAGTTTACAAATCCGTAATGATTTTTATTTTTTGATTTTTATGAATAACAGTTATTTCCTTGACATTTTTGAAAAAATTAAATAATTATAAAAAAAAAAATGCTAACCATGTTTTATATAACTTACTAAAAATTTATTAAAAAAGGCAACCGCGCTTATTTTATAACTATATTTTTTTTAAATTTATTTTACCCTCAAAATCGCTAAAAATCAAGTTTGAGTTTTATTTTTGATCACGACGAATAGCTGTTATTTGTCAACTTTTATAATAAAACTCAAAAAATAGCAGTTATTCCTTGAGTTTTACTTTACAAATCAGAAAATAACTGTTAAAGTGTGATTTTTAAAATAAAACTTATAACAGTAACGGTCCCTGTGTGAAAGTTTTAAATCAGGGACCGTAAATAACAGTTATTTGTGATTTTTATTTTAAAAAGACTATGGTGATATTTGGTTTTAAACGTCAAAAATAACGTTCTTTTTAATTTTGTCCACAAAGTATATGCATTTCAACAAATCTGGAAAGCAATTTAACTGTTATTTGTTTATGTCTATAAAGTGCATAAAAACCAGTTAAATTGTTGATTAAAACTTGTACAAATCTCAGTAGTCCTTTTAAAATAAAAATCACAAATAACTGTTATTTACGGTCCCTGTTTTAAATCGCTATCTTTTAAACTGAGCTCGCAAACGTTATTAAAACAGACTTACAAACGGACATGGCTATATCGACCCCCTATTGATCCTGATCAAGAATATATTAACTTTATTAACTTTATATTAACGTCTCCTTCACTGCGTTACAAACTTCTGACCAAAATTATAATACCTCTGCAAGGGTATAAAAATAGTTCAATTTTCTGAATTTGAATTTAGGCAGAACTGTTAAAAATGCTTTTTAACATTTTAGTGATGTGAAGCATCGATAGTTGCCATTAAACATCGATGTTTTCTATCGCTCGTTGTTACTTCTCTCCTCTCTTACGTATAACTCTCTTACGTTTGCCCTTACGTTTTGTGATGGGACAAAAACATCGATTGTGGCGGAAAAACATCGATCGAGAAAATTAAAACATCGATGCATCTGTTTCATCTCATTCTCACATCTCTATTCAAATCGTTCGAAATTGGCACCGCAGCGCATAAATGCATAAATAAATATTTAAATAGGTTTAAATAGGCTGGGAGCATGCAGTTGCACCAACGTTGCACCAACAGAGCCAAGCAGAAATATGGCCAGCGAATTATGTCATAAATGTGAAAGTGATTCGAGCTGCACTGCAGCGGCAACTACAACAAAAACTGCACGCATGTGAGAAAAGGAGTGCGAAGTGTGTACAAAAAATCAATTGGGAGGAAAATTGCATTTTCGCTGCCGCGACCGAAACGAAAATAAGTGAAAGAAAAACATATATATAAGTATTTATATATATAAAGTGCGTTCGGGGTGTTTGCGTGCGAGTGCGTGTGTGTGTGTAAGGAAAGGTGGAAGAAGCAGCAGCAGCAGAAATAGCAAAAGGAGGCAGCAGCAACAACAACAAGGAGGCGAGAGAAAACCGCCAGCAGCAGCAGCAACAATAACAACAACCAGCAGCCCCCTAATAAAGAGCAGAGAAAAAAATGAGTTCAAGTTGTGAAAGGTGTGTGCCGTTACACTACGACTACAACAACCATCATCAGCGGCAGCAACCAAAAACAACAACAACAACGGCAATCTCCAGACAGCGCGAATGTCGAAATTGTGTATACAATTTGTTCAGAAAGCAAATGCAGCAACAACAATGACCAACTGCAGATGCTTTTGTTAAATAAATTGTTGTCTTGACTGCAGAAAATTTCCATGCAGTGCGAATGGGTGGGTGGCAAAAGGAGCGAGACTGGGCGTGGAGGGGGGAGGAAGAGAGAGAGCGAGAGGAAGGAGCCGCCTTTTGACAGCTGCGTTTGGCAGTCTCAGTGTGTGTGTGTGTGTGCGTGAGAGTGCGTGAGTGGGTGGCGACCATCCCCCCACTCCGCTGGCGTGCATTTTCTTTTACCTTGATTAAATTCCTGATTTATGCACTTTTTGGCTCTTTCGTGGCCTCGGGCGCCTGCAAAATCGATTTTCTGGCAAGGCGCGGCAACAAGCGTCGGCCGCCAAATGTGCCAAAAAGAGAGAGCCAAAGAGAGAGTACTAGTACCAACACCCCTCTCGCACTCACCCACTCTCTCCCAACTCCCATTCTCGCCCAAATGTGTGCGTGTGTGTAAGGACTGCAATTTTCAAATAAGGAAAAACCGGAAAATGTTTGACTAAATATGTTTGTCGTCGGCATAGAGAAAAGCCCAGTTGAATGGGGGAAAACCGGCACACTCACACACATTTACAAACTACGCACAATGCCGATTTTGGTAAACCTTTTTTTTTTTTTTTGTTCCATATCAATTTGCCTCAATGAATGCCCTGAAAATATTGAATGAAACATTTGTTTGCTGGGGGATTTGCCGTTGTTTTTTTGTTTGCCGCCGCTTTTGAGGGCGTGTTTCAGCAAGTTTTTAGTATATCTGGCCGAAAAACTCGGTTGGCATTCCGGAGATGCTTTTGTCGGCCGCTCGAAAATAGAAGCAATCGCGTTTTATGTCTTATTTATGTGTATTTCTCGCCCTCCCCGGATCTCCATCTTCATCTTTGCCCCGGACCAGCAGAATAGAATGGGTGGAAATCATCGAGCCGCGCAGCAAGGACCACATGTACGCCAATCTCACCACGGGCGAATGTGTTTGGGATCCACCAGAAGTAAGTACACAACTCAATATCTTAAAATCTATCTCCAGAACATTTATAAAAAATGTTTTTTAACTGACTCGAACAAGAAGAATTACACAAAAACCTCGAATTTTAAATAGAAACATTCATTTGTCTGCAAAATATTTGTTCGATCGATAGTAAATTTGGGATAAGGTTGGATACCCAGCGGGAACATTCCTCTGGAAAATATGATATTTTCATGAGGTTTCTCCATACAAGCGGAAGGGACAAAACCTCATTTACGCCTTACATTTCTTCCGACTCAAAAAGTAAGGGGTAAATGAAGTTTCTATGTGGTTTCCAAGGGAATTTACATTTTCCCTACACCGTCGCCTGCTAGAAGATACAGGATTTCCAACACTTTCTGCTAAAAGGAACAGGATTTCCAACACACAAAGAACCTCCTTCTCACTTTCCCGGTGGGTATTGCTAAATCAAATGATTTCGCTCCAGAAGTAAGGTCAACTTGGGTTATTTGTTCAGTTTTATTATTTAAATTATTTAAAGATCCTCATTATAATAACATTTATTTATATTTTCTGAATAATTACGTTCAAAGTTCAGAGATTCCTATTGTATTGTTATTTACTTATGGTTACGGAAAGTCATCAGTTCCCATGCATCATCTTATGCAACTCAAGATGTCATGTTTATGGAGTTCAACGACCACGCTCTCGGGGGGTTTACTCCATTGATTAGATGAGCAACTGGTTGTGCGGCTAGTTATACCCGTTACTCGTAGAGTAAAAGGGTATACTAGATTCGTGCAAAAGTATGTAACAGCTAGAAGGAAGCGTTTCCGACCCCATAAAGTATATATATTCTTGATCAGGGTCACTAGCCGAGTCGATCTAGCCATGTCCGTCTGTCCGTCTGTCCGTCTGTCCGTCTGTCCGTCTGTCTGTCTGTCCGTCTGTATGAACGCTGAGATCTCAGAAACTACAAAAGCTAGAAGGTTGAGATTTCCCACACATATTCTTTGGCTTCCTACGCAGCGCAAGTTTATTTTAGCCGAGCGCCACGCCCCCTCTAACGCCCACAATCGCCCACTAACGATTTTAAAATGGGTCCTGCGCCCACATCTTTAAAGATTTCCGAGAAGTATAAATGCAATTTTGTTGTGTATATTTATACCTATCGAAATGTAGAAGACATTTTTCAAATCGGACCATTCATTAAAAAGTTATACGCTTTATAAATTGTCAACATATATCTATCTCCCTCGCACTCCCTTTAGCTGAGTTACGATTATTAGTCGGGACACCAACCCGACACAGCGTTCGCACTCCCTTTAGCTGAGTGACGGGTATTAGATAGTCGGGACAACAACCCGACTATAGCGTTCTCTCTTGTTTTTTAATTACTATTCTGGGTCACTTGTTTGCGCAATTTTCTTGTTTGTGATTGGCTTGCCACTTCGCCAAGTGGCGTGACCAAGGTTAATTATATTAAAATAACTGTCGAATGATGCGCGCATCATCATAACCATTCTGATATAACATATAGCAGCCAAGTAAAAGTAGGAAATGTTGCAGTCGTTCATGCCTCAATGAAAATATTTTCCCTATGAAAAAGGCAAAACTTTTCCCTTTCAGACGAGCTCTTTGGAAAAACCATTGGCTTGGAATGTCTGTTTGCTCAAATGCTTGGCTTTTTTTTTCACATTTTCTATGCTGTTTGGCTAATGCGGCAACACCAAAAGGTGTTGCAGGCTAATAACTTTGGTCTCGCCTGCAGGACGAAGCCGAAAGGCAAACATCGGCCAGACGAGCAAACCAGGCCACCCTTCTTCCTTTGGCTTTTTATTTTACCTTTCCTCCAAAGGAAGTAGTGAAAATTTCATTGATTTTGTTGTTGGCCTGCAATGTCCTCGTTTTGCTCCTGATTGCATACACATGACCAGGAGTTTTCTGAAGGTATTGGTGTGCGAGAGAGTGCATGTCCTGCTTCCGTAATGAAAGGCTTGCATGCAGAGCTGCACAGAAAAAAAACTAAATTTGGTTGAACTTAATAATTCACAGTCGAATTCTTCCAGTTAATTTTGTGCATTTTTTTTAAATTAATAATAATTTTTTCAATGACCAGATGGTATAAAAAAAATGTTCAATGCCAACTGGTCTACGAATTTTTTTCATGTGTAAGTGGGCGTAATGTCCGCTTGGACGCCATGATTTATTGCCCGTCCTGCGTCCCTTCTTCCGCTCTCTCCCCACTCCTTTCGTTTCTCTTACCCCCCAAAAGGCACTGCAGCAAAACCATCGCTCTCTCTTTGCGCTCTTCGAGTGTTTATTTATGTGCATTTCATTTCGGTTTTTGTCACTCTCACTCTCTGTTTGAGTCATCGACTACGTCATCGGCATTCTGCCACACCCCCCGCCTACGCCCACATAAACAGTGCTTTCGGCCAAAACGAGAAAGAGACAAGATGATAATAAAAGCCATAACAAAGGTAAATATTAATGGAGTTGATTCTTTGAAGCTTGATCTTTGGGTTAATTAATGATGGTCTGTGGTCAATGAATAGGATCTCAGGTCTCTGGCAAATAAATAAAAATAATTTTCTACATTTTAGAAAATAGCCTTAAAAAAATTTTCCCCCTTGAACTGAGAAAATTTTCTGTTTTCACGACAAATTTGCCATAAATTCAAGGCAGGTAACCATAAAAAAGTCTTTTTAGGGTTAATTTTTCTATTTTTATAATATTTAGCGCGATTTTTTTCGATTTGCTTGTTTTGACCTTTTCTAAATCCAACGGCGAACCTATAGGTTCAATTGAAATAGGTATTAGTTATTTCAAAATTTATTAAAAATGCCTTTTTACACAATTATTAATTTTTATACCCGTTACTCGTAGAGTAAAAGGGTATACTAGATTCGTGCAAAAGTATGTAACAGCTAGAAGGAAGCGTTTCCGACCCCATAAAGTATATATATTCTTGATCAGGGTCACTAGCCGAGTCGATCTAGCCATGTCCGTCTGTCCGTCTGTCCGTCTGTCCGTCTGTCCGTCTGTCTGTCTGTCCGTCTGTATGAACGCTGAGATCTCAGAAACTACAAAAGCTAGAAGGTTGAGATTTCCCACACATATTCTTTGGCTTCCTACGCAGCGCAAGTTTATTTTAGCCGAGCGCCACGCCCCCTCTAACGCACACAATCGCCCACTAACGATTTTAAAATGGGTCCTGCGCCCACATCTTTAAAGATTTCCGAGAAGTATAAATGCAATTTTGTTGTGTATATTTATACCTATCGAAATGTAGAACACATTTTTCAAATCGGATCATTCATTAAAAAGTTATACGCTTTATAAATTGTCAACATATATCTATCTCCCTCGCACTCCCTTTAGCTGAGTTACGATTATTAGTCGGGACACCAACCCGACACAGCGTTCGCACTCCCTTTAGCTGAGTGACGGGTATTAGATAGTCGGGACACCAACCCGACTATAGCGTTCTCTCTTGTTTTTTATTTAAATGATCTGTTAGTTTTTATGAAAAAGTAAGAAAATGTTTTCTTATTAAAAAATAATTTACCCCGATTTGAAAGTAATAAGTACATTGCAAATACACCAATTCTGCGATTCCCGTACGTCTATTGTGAATTAGCAGCGTAAAGTCGACACTTCCGTCTCCATTCTTCTCCCTTCCAAAGTAGCAGATAAGGTCCACAAAGGCCTGCCCTCGATTCAGTATCTGATTGCAGCTACTGCAATTGTGGCCGCTTCCCCTCGTGGCGATGAGGAAGTGAATCCTTTTCACTGCGCCATATAATCCACACAATTTATGCAGGGCGGCGTGAAAAAGACATTATTTAAGATGGGGTGATTGCACCACCTTGCCGTGCACCCCTTTCCGTAGTCATTGTTCCACCCTCGCTTCGTTTCTAACGTGCTTTAAATTAGCGACATTCTGTTCTGCTTTTTGTTCTCCTTGTTGGCCAACTTGCAGCTTTTTGTTTTAGCCAAGCTGAGCTCTCTTTGGTGGTGACACCAGCAACAAGAAAAACAGCAACAACTCTCGCTGCTGCGTTCATTGTACGTGATTTGAAATTTATTCACAGTTGCTGGGGCACCGTCCACTTTTTTGTTCAGCTTTTTATTATAACTCGAAATTACCGCCCGTCCCCCTTCTCGTGGCTTTGTCAACTTTTTCATACTGTTTTTCGTCTCTTTTTTGCCCATTTGCCTTTGTAAAACTTCCGGTTGGCAGGGAGAAGGAGAAACAGAAAAGAAAAGTTGTCCACAAGTTGCACGTCCATTGCTCGTTTCATGTTTCACATTACGAAACCCGCCTCAAGACCTCAAGACTGGCGAAGACCAGAATCCGGAGTGGCGACGACGACGAGCACTGGATGTTCACGTGCGTCCGCCGGCGTCATCCAACTGCCGCCCCAATCCGCGCCCCTCCAAAAGGGGTGGTGGTGCAATCCCCCGGGCAACCAAATGCGGCGGCGCCTCCTCCAAAACGGTCAGACCTCGAACTGGGCCTTCTTCGCTTCAGTGGAGGGACTTGTGCTACGCAATCGTCGAAATATTTCAAATTTTACTGTGTGTTGCTCATTCTACATTGGGGATATTCGATCTAAGAAGGGTATCGTTTTATTACCTTAAATATTACATTACAGAATATCTTAGAAAACGTCTTTATTGTAATTGAGTGATGAGATCTGGAAGAGATAATATGGAATGAGTTTTAATTATAGTTTATCTTTCAGATCTTTTTTTTTCATAGCCATAATTGATATTATTTTGTAGGTTCATTTTTATAAGCAATTTTAACAAAATACCATCACTTATTATAATTTCCATTGAGAGAAACCAAAATTGATTCAATAGTTTCATTTGTATATGCAAATATAACAAAATATTATCTTTTTTTTTATTCCCATTGAGAAAAACCAGAATTAATTCATAGTTTTGTAATCCCACGAGGGAACGAAATGGAAAAAAAGTTCATTTATAAATTTAAAATATTTTATTAGAACTGGATATTAAAAATAGTTATATTTAAATATCAAAGTATTTATCAGACTTTTAAACTTGGTTTCATAAAATCAATATTCATATACCTGCTTGCTGGATATGCATGTCATGCATTATCTATGATTCCAGACGTAAGGTATTCCCTACCACCCAGTCTTCCTCTTCTTCGGTTGGCTATCGCCCATTGCCTTCTTGGGCAAAGTTTGGTTTCCTGTCTTTGCGGCCAAAGTGTGCTTTTGGGCCTACACACAGATACACAGCTAAGTACCGACTTCTTCCGCTTTGCTTGGCACAATTTGAAAGCAATTACGAAGTCAATTAAATGTGCATAAATATTGCTAATGAATTTCGTCTTCGGAAGCTTCTTGCAGGCTAAAATACATTAAAATTTGTGAATACCGGTGAGGTGGATGATGCAACATCAATGACTTGGGATTTAAATATCTTAAACTTTTATGAGTTTTAAGACTTTTTAAGAAAATTATTGATTTATTCATTATTTTTTAAAATCTGCGTTTGATTCATGACACAATTTCAATAATTTCTTGGGTTGCTGAACTGTATTGGAGCTATAGAATATAGAATAGCAACCACACCATAAATAAGCCTTAGACTAGGCTCTTTCATTGCCCACTGTTCTATAAATAAGTATCTGAATTGCTTTTTTCTCAGAGATCTGCATTCCAGTTCCCTCGCGAGAATGTGAAACATGTGCCCAACTCATCGATAACTGCATTGCCTTAATCTATAAATCTGACTATTTAATTGTTATGGCTTTCGTCTGGAAAAAGTTATTGGGGATTGTGCTTATTCGAAGAGAAAAGTACAATATCTTTGAATTGAAGTCAGATCAATATTTGCTCAAATTCCAAAACAATTCAATTCCATTCATTGGTTCCCATTTTGGTGACACATTCCATTCCAATTTCGAGAGAGGCCCGTTCCGTAGTTTCGATGTTATCGCCTCCATGGGTTCTATTTCGGGATCTGCGCTGGGCTTCAAAATTCGCTCTGTTGATGACCTAATTTACCGAGGGGTAACAACGAAATTTCGTCTGGTCTTTCTGTTTGTTTTTACTTCAGTGTGTCTGCGTCTCATTTAATATCATTTGCTTGTTTTCCCGCTGCATGATTCACAGATGAAAGGAAGTGTAGTTCGGTCCGAAACTGACCTCGGCCATAGTCTTCTGTATACGGAGAACTCTAGAATCAACCCGATTAGAAATCTTGTGCGTGCCTCGCTTCTTTATTCGCTTCGATCGACCCACTTGCCGCTGATTAAAAGTTGTAATTGTTTTTCAATAAGCGCCAGACGTACATCTCCACATGCCACACGCTGTACTTCATGGTTGGCAAATTGAATGGCAGATAACGAAATGGAATGCATTACCAGAGGGAATCTATACTCAACGCTTCAGTTTAATTGGAAAATTAACGGGCTTTCAATTAAACCAAATCAATCTTATAATATTGGCCGGTTCTTTTCTTTTTGTGTGAATTATTTTCCTATTTTCCTATGAATGTATACAATGTAGTATATCTCAAAACTTTTCGACACCTTAATTCTTAAAGATTTTGCGGGTATAAATATTTTTGAGGGGATATCGTTTTGAGTGCCCGTTGCAATATTTCGAAGCACGAAGCCTTTCCACTCTTTAATTAAATTCTATTTACCAAAGTTTCCAAGTTTATCAACGAGAAACATAAACAAATATTAAATAAGCTCATTTAAAAAGTCAAACTTAATAAAAACAAATTAATAGAAAGCAAATGTTTATTTAGCAATTGAAAAACTATGCCTAGATGATATTATAAATATTATATTTGATTTAATTAATTGATTATAACCCACCTCCCAACAAATAAACTATGTACAATGGGCCAATTTCAGCTGACTGTTTTGTGATTAAGACTCGTTCTCATCTCCCCCCATTGTTGTTCACATTCCATAATTACAAAAAATATTTGGAATTTTGTACAAGGCCACAAATGAGGTCGAGTCGCTTGATGTTTCTTTTTATAGTCCATCTCGCATTTAACTGGAGGCAGCGGGGAATCGAATGGAGGCGGGGAGGGATATCTGGATGGATGACTGACTGACTGACTGACTGACTGACTGACTGATTGACTGACTGACTGGCTGGCTAACTGGCAGATGGAAACGCAACAATGCGAAAAGCGTAACGAGGCGACATGGCATCTGAGTGGCCCATCTCCACTGGGTGGCCTTGCTCCCAGCCCCTCCCACTCCCCCCTCGCACCCCCAAACATCGTCTGGTTGCGCCCACAAATTATGCAACATGCAACGCAATCGGGGACGCCGCTTGGAAATGGAAATGAAAACCAGAAATGAAAAGCAGCCAAGCCGAAAGCTTTCATTTGCAGCGGGGTGCGATGGGCGATGGGCGTTGAACGGTGGGCGGGGCTGCCATTGTTGTTGTTGCTATCAGTGGCCAGTTGCAACCACAACAGCAAAAGCAACAAAAGGGGGCGTGGGTCAGGAACCACCCAACTGGCCCTGGCAATTGCAACCGAAGCTGAGGTCTCCAGTCGTCGTCGACTGTGGGCGCATCTGCAGCGCAAAAGTTCAAGGTCAGCGCTGCTGCTGATTCTGCTGCTACTGCTGCTGCTGCTGGGTGCTCTTACTGCATGCATTTTGCAGAAATAACCCTGACTTCTGGGCGAGACAGAGTCGGGGAGAGCGGAGTGAGCGAGATGGAGCGGATTAAGCACACGCGCCTCGCCAACAAGGCCAGATATTAAAGGGAGGATAAAATCAGTGATGGAGGACACAAAGTAATAGTTGTACTTATATGTTTTAGACCATAAAATAATAGGAAACCTTTTAAAAAATATTTTACCAGATTAAGTCAGCTCAAATTTGGGGTTCTGAAGGAGTTTATGGCTTTGAAAATGTATTTATGTTATATTTATAATCAATTTTCGATTTTATAACAGAGCTTGTTATTTTTTAAGAAGAAATATAAAATTTCTATAAAAATTCAAATGGGGTTGTAAGGGATTTTGAAGACATAAATTAAAATGTTTAAGAGAAAATGTTTTTATTTAAATTTAATTTGTACCTTACTTTATTGCAAAGAATAAATACCTTTCCCGTCACTAAAACGGTAGCCAATGCAGCTGAGGAACCATCGAGAATTCCTGTTTGTCAAGCACTTGTTGTATTTACTCGGCTGATAAAACCCTTCAGATTCAGATTATAAACACACACACACCCACTCGCACTCTTTGTGCTCTCGAGTTTGCTGATTAAGCCCGAAGAAAAGCTCTCGAGCTGAGATACCAAAATAAATATGCTTTTGTGTAATTGTTGGATAATTCAAGAGGAGGGATAAAAGCCAGACCTGCAACAACGACAACAATGGAGGCTCCAAAGCTTGAGCGCAATGGAAACTTATCATTGCCAAAGCCAGAGCTGAATGTCATTGGGTCCGGTGTCACTTCTGATGAAACTACGTTTATGAGACAGATGTCGAAACGTGCCGAAATCTTAATGTCTTAGTATGTACAATGTGCTTGGACTGAATATGGGAAATAAAAAGTGAAATTATTACTAATTTTACTAAGCTTATAGGCATTATTCATCAATGATTTGATTTTGAAAATCTAGGAAAATCTAGCTGTAATTGTATTCTTGATTGAATCACTTTTTTAGGAACTCATTCTGTCCTTAAAGCGCAAGATCGAAATAAGATTCTTATTTCTTGGAAATAAAAAAAGGTTATATTACCTTGATACCTTGATACGTTTTATAAAAATAAACGTTTTAGTTTAGGTTGGTTTTAGGTTCTATCTAATAAAAAATTCTCTATAAAACAATCAATCAATTTTAGAATAGAATTGAACATTACTTAATGAAGCGGATATCTCAAAGCCGTTTCACTAAACTTTCGAAATTATTATTCACATTTTCCCGAAATTGATTAATAAATGCCTGATAAGAAGTAACTCCATCAGCTGTTTCTAGAGAATTGAGTGGATCACTGGGGTCATAAACAATTTGTAAGAGTGCTTGATCTGCATAAACAGGTGGAAGAATATCCGGTTAGGAAATAACCATCGATCAACTTTAACTTCACCTCAGGGCATATTAGTATTTATGAGTGTTTATCTAATAAGCGCACGTTGATCTCACGGCCCACGTGTTGCCCCGCTCCCCCTTCCCCTCCTCGACCCGTATACCCAATGCCTCCGCCACAACGATCTGACCCACTCAATCCCACACACACGAGTACTCTCTCCAATCTGATGAACCAAACGATCCAAACTAATTTCGCCACGCGTCCCGCGTTCCGTTCTCGTTCCCTGCCCCAAATCGTAACTCATTCCCGTTCCGTTCTCGCTTTACAGGATGTGCCAATTAAGCGGACCGACTCATCGCAGTGGTGGGAACTGTTTGATACGAATACCCAGCGGTTCTACTACTACAATGCGGCCACGCAGAAGACCGTGTGGCACCGGCCGAGCAAGTGCGACATCATTCCGCTGGCCAAGCTGCAGACGCTCAAGCAGAACACCGATCCCAGCGAGCGTCGTGAGCAGACCACGCCCCAAAAGCAACAGCAGCAGCAGCAGGTGCAGAATCCTCCCCAGCAGCCGCAGCAGCATCAGCAGCAACAGGCGTCACCCATGTCGGGGCCAAATAAAAAGGGACGTGGCCAGCAGAGGATCAGCGGCGGCAATGGTGCGGTGGCCAGTTCCGAGGAGAAGCTAAGCATCGGCGATTTGGTCTCTAGTCCACGCGGCCGCCAAAGCTTTCGGTGAGTTGGGTTGAGTAACCCCATTTGGGGCATGCTCCCTCCCACTTTTGTTTACATCTCCCTTATTGTTTACATTCCATTCTGGGCCTCTTTTTTCTTTAGTGTTGGCACCGGTGACTCATCCCGCTCGATGGAAATACAGCAGCATCCGCAGGGCTATGCCTCCAGGCGTTCGCAAGGTGAGTGTTCTGTTCGACCCCAAAAATTCCAATGACTCACTGTTACAACGTTTCATTTTTCCCAGATTCCTGCAATCAGTACAAGGAATCCGGCAAGTCCAGCGACTCTAGTCTGTCCAGTGCGCATGGCTACAGGCGCATCAATGACGGCAGCGTTCCGGGATCAGGACATCCGGATAACCTGCGTCTGGGCTCCCTGCAGAAGCATCAGCGAGGCGGCGGCGGCAAGGATAATGGAGCGTAAGTAGTTGATTCTTCGCTTTCATCATCTCATTGGCCTTAAATCGCTTCTATACCCCCCATCTTCATCTTTGCTTGCGCTTGGGTTACGGATCGCCTTTCAGCTTCGAGATGCTGCAAGAGAGCACCAGTTCGCATAACTTGCCGCATGGCAGCACCTCCACATCCTCATCCTACGCCGGTGGCAGTGGCTATGGGGACAAGTACTTCGATCATCAGCTGCTGCCCAACCACCTGCAGGGTTATTCCTCCAAGTCGTCGGACATCGCCTCGCCCACGCACTCCATTCACACGCCGCAGTCGCAGAAGAAGAAGATGTCGCCGGATGCAGCGCCCGCTGCCCCGTACAACTACGCACAACAGCAGCATCAGCAGAGAAACGCACAACGCAGTGGCGGAGGAGTTGGTGGTGGTGGTGGCGGTGGCGGAGCACCGGTGGGCAAGTCCTACGGAGGCGGTAAGAATATACCTTCAATTTAAATCCAAACAAAATTACTTAACACCGCCGTAGGGTCTTGCAAAAAAAAAACGATTTTTTTTTTAATTTTGGTTTTTAGAATAACATCTTAATATTATACAAAAAAAGTTTCAAGTCAATCGGACAAAAGCTTTAGAAGTTATGCTAAAATTAGTACCCTAACCTCTTAAACTTTTGGTACGTAAGTGCATCTTTAAGTGCCTTTTTCTCGAAACCATGTTTTCAAAGTCCGTGTTCATCGGCATTTTTAAACGGCTCAACCGATCGTTTTCAAATTTGTCGCATATTTTTCTGCATAAAAAAAACCCGCCCCCTGGGAAGAGTTTTTTTATTTTTTAACTTTAAATATTTTTTTAAGCCGAAAGTGAAATGTTTTAGGTGAAAAACGCATTTTTGACTTTGGAATATCGAAAAAAAAATCTCAAAAATAAAAAATTAAAAAAAAGGCTTCCCAGATGGCGGGTTTTTTTTCATTCTCAAGCCAAATGTATAAACAAAATGGAAATCCGATCATTTTTAGCAGAGGAACACCGCAAAACGCCTTTTTTAATAGTGTTCCAGCAATCGCTTTGCCACCGATATATTAGCCGATAGTATCGGCTATACAAATTAGTGGATATTATTTAAATGACACTTAATAATATACAAAAGGTTTGAATTAAATCCATTCAACCAGTTTTTATTGAAAAAATCGCAAAGTTAGTCGATTTTTTGGAGCCAAAGACCCTACCCCCCTTAGAAGCTCTAACATTCTAATTAATGAATTCCGTTTTCTAGATCGCGAGTACAAGGTGTCGCTGGCCCGCTCTGGCAGTTTCATGTCCTCTTCCATCAATCCCGCCGCCGCCGGTCATCACAGCAAATCCTACCGCAAGAGCAGCGCGGAAGCGGCGAATGGAGGAGCCGCCAGCGACGATTCCATGCACGAGAAGTACTTCAAGTCGGTGGAGAACACGCCACTCTCGCGTCGCCGCCACACCACCAATGCCACGAAAAGCGGAGGAGGCCCAAGTGGCAGCAATACGGCAACCAGCACGGCGGGCAGCGGCAGCAGCAGCCACAAGAAGCACTCGAGCGACTCCAGTCCGCAGAGTCCCATCAGTCCGCAGACGAAGAGCTCGCGCCAGGCGAAGACGAGTGCCACCAGTGCTCTGCCCCAGCTGCAGCACTCGCCACGCCTGCAGGAGCCGAGCCATAGCGTGGATCTACTGAGTCTCGAGAGGATTTCGCTGGGCAGAGCGGGGCCCATTTCGCCGGGCGGTGGTACCGAGAACATTGGCCTGCTGACGCACTCGTCGCGCGGATCCAATGACTCTGCCCGCCACCGCCAGAAGTCCAACAACTCGACGGCGAATCGCTCGCAGACGCATCATCACGGCGGGCAGAGTTCTTTGCGGCACAGCGCCAGTTCCAGTCTGGATAAAAGGGGCTACCAAGCGGGAGGAGGTAGTGGCGAAAAGCGACGCTCCAAGCAGCATCCCTACCATCAGCAGGCCGACAACAGCGACGTGGAGTACGACAATGGGAACACCTCGCCGTTGTACACCAACTGGGATAGGGACATGCCGCACCTGCTGCCCCTCAAGCACTACATCATGGAGCAGGCCAAGCTGTCGGGTCGCTACGAGTACCGAGGTGGCGATGGCGGCGACTCGGACTCCTACCACTCGGACAGCCAGTCGGAGCACTCGCTATCGGGCCACGAGCCGGACAATGAGGATTCGGACGGGGGATCGGACACGCATGGCGGCTATCTGGAGCACAACTACGGCATGATCGATGATTACGCCAATATGGGCGACAGTGTCTCCTACTACGCGTACATGTTTCCACCGCACGATCCTGCCGGAAGGGAGGATATGTAAGTGTATACTTAACAGATAGTACTGTTAATGGATTCAATTAATTATTTTGAATTTTTTGTTGGTCAAAAACTCATTGTGTTAAAAACACGATGTGTAAAAAACACAAATGACACGTGTGTGTTATTTATGTTTCTAACATATGTAGGCTACAATTTTTAACATACATGTCACTAACTTTTTTTGACATTTAAATGTTAATAACACAAGTTACCCTGCAGGAAAAATGCGAACTAGTCTGAAAAACAACTAGTTAAATAACTAATATAAAGCAACCGGAATTTGTCTGAATGCATTTCGACTACACAGGGTCTAGAAAATTTGTGCTAGTCGAAAAAATGATTAATACAAAACTAGTAAAAAAGAAACTTGTCTCGGACTAGTACCTTTCTGACAAAAAAAACCTTAAAAATATTTAACTGGTAGAACAAATACATGTTAGGGTCTAGTTAAAAGGCAACAGGAATTTAACTAGTTGCAAATGAAACACATATGATCCAAAAATATAGCCTAGAGTGTAAATGTCTTGGGAAATTTAGCACTAAACAAATCAAACACTCGAGGTGCTCGGTTCAATCCCCAGTCTCTGTAAATTTTTTTTTGTTTTTTCTGTCCAATTCAATACATATGTGAAAAATCACTGTTTTTGAATTATGTCACACTAAAATTCGTAAACCTTGTTAGGGCATTACAAAATGTGATGCGTGTATGGCTCATCCAGTTAGTGTGTCTGCAAATCCAAAGGTCCCGGGTTCAAGTCCTAGAGAGGGCGACTTGCCTCAAAAAAAGTAAGTTTGTTTTAATTCCGCGCCTGTAAATTGGATACTAAATTAGGAGAGCGTCAAGTTAGGCATCGTCAAGTACTAGTGAAATCCAATCACTTGATGGTTTAGAGATTAATTTTTAGTTTTTAACAGCTGTAAACGTAAATTGGTTAACAGTAACTAGTTCAAAACTAGTAGCAAATGGACTAGTTGTTTCCGACGACAAGCATATGAAAAATGGACCACTTCGTTACAAGGAAATGGACATAACTTGAACTAGTTAACCTTCTTGACCCAACTAGTATTTTAATAGTCCAAAACTGATTCCGTTTCCTGCAGGGTATTTACAGTATGTGTTATTTTCCGAACCCAAATTTTGAGTTTAATGGCATGAATTCCGAAATAATTCAAACGACAATTTCTTTTGAAGAAAGGGTCATCACTTTGTGATTAAATCTGCCTGAATTTTATTTACTAAGCAGTTAACATTGATTTGTTAAAAATTTTCCACTTTTTGTTCTTAAAAGAAGGCACAAAAAAAAACTGGAAAATTAAACAAATTAATAAATATTATTCATTGGTTCATTCTTTTCGAAATGAATTAGAAAGGACATTCAATTTATTGCACATAGAATTGAATTAAACAAATCAGAAATTTCATGGCATACTATGATGAAACAAAAATTGAATGATTCACGCAGGGCTCTAATTCTAATCAACTGGTATTTTCAGCTCCGAAAACGTGGAGGCAGTGCTAGAGGGAATCGGTGGCAATGTGACTGAACCCTCGGCTGCTCCGACCGCCACCGTTCCCAAGCCAAAGCCGCGTTACCAGATCTCATACTACGACACCGTATCGCACAGTCCTTCAGCCGGAAGCGGCTATCACGGTCAGCAGCTTTACTCCAATACGCCGCCCTATTCGGGGGGACATGGTCATGGTCATCACGTTCCACCGCCGTCGCTGCCTCCCCAGCAGCAGTTGCATCTGGAACCGAGCGACGCCAAGCAAAAGCAGTCGCAAACCCTGCCATCGCCCAATCGGCAGATTTCACGGCTAGCCGGCGCCGGATCAAATGCATCATCCAAAGAAGAGACCGGCCATGGGCACAGTTTCGTTGCTGGTCAACAGCAGACTTCGGGGGGCAGCGTAACGCCAGCCAGTCTTTCGCGACCTGGTCACAAGATGGCCCCGCCCTCCTTGAAGCCCACCATCCAGCAGATCTTTCCACCCAGCGAACGGGCTCCAGGAGTCGGTGGCCTGGGATTGGGCGGCCCCACGTTAGCCTGCATGAAAGAATGTGATATCGAGAAGTTTGCAGCCGACAATCTGAATCTCCACTCGAAGGGCATCTTCCGGAAGAAGGCATCGGTGCGCGACATGCTTAGTTGGACGGCGGAGGCGATTAGTCGACCCATGTTGGCTTTGTCCCGGGACAAGGCGGACAAGAAGACGGCCATCGAGCTGTTCAAGCTGGTGCAGATCTACATGGCGGATCGCAAGGCGCGCATGGGAATGACTTTAAATTCGGTGGCCATAGAAATTATCAGTGCATCCTTACCACAGCAGCAGTGAGTTGTTGAACCTTAAGAAATATGTAAGATTTGTTACTATATTTCTTTCCTTCCACGCAGACTAAGAGATGAGTTGTATGTCCAGTTGTGTCGCCAGACGACAGAGAATCCCAAGCGAGACTCGCTCATTCGGGGCTGGGAGCTGATGGCCATCTGTCTGTCCTACGTACCGCCCTCGCCCACGTTTCAACCCACTCTGCTGAAGTGAGTATTGTATATATAACTTTCTATATTTCAGCTAAATGTATATATTTTCAGCTATGTCAATCGTCACCGCGATCCCTCATTTGCCACGTGCTTCATGGAGGTGAGCAAGTGGCCCATCCATGTGCAGATATCGCACTACGCCACAGTGTGCTGTCGTCGCTTGGATCGCATTGGTAGCTGTGGACGACGTCTGGCCAAAAAGCCCACTGTGGATGAGGTGGAACAGGCGCGGGTAAATAAAATATTCAGGCAAATAAGGAATGTTTTTATAATATTTTCTTAATGATTAACTTTTAGCAACAAATCCTGAGGAACAGCATGTTCGGTAACACACTTTCCGAGGTAATGGAGCTCCAAAAGGATAAGTTTCCGTTCCGCAAGCTGCCCTGGATACAGACTACACTTTCAGAGCATGTATGTTTATCATTTATCTGAAGTTAAAGATAATTTAACTATATCTAAAATATACTTCTTATTTTTCAGGTGCTGCTGCTCAATGGAAAGCAGACTGAAGGAATCTTTCGCGTCTCCGCGGATGTGGATGAAGTCAATTGCATGAAGAATCGCCTGGATCGGTGGGATGTTCCTGATTATAAAAACACATTGGGTAAGGGATTAATAAAAGTAAATATCTATTAATTATTAATATTAAATCCCATTATCCAGTGGATGCACATGCGCCAGCCAGTCTGCTTAAGCTGTGGTATCGAGAACTGTACGATCCGCTTATACCGGATGCCTACTACGAGGATTGCGTGAACACAGAGGATCCCGACAAAGCCAAAGAAATAGTTAATAAGTTGCCCGAAATAAATCAGCTGGTAAGTAATTATACAAGTTAAACATAGGCGGAAAATTAATCTTCGGCTACTTTCAGGTTCTAACGTATCTAATACATTTCCTGCAACAATTCTCCATACCCGAGGTGGTGAGCTGCACCAAGATGGACTCCTCGAATCTGGCCATGGTGTTTGCGCCCAACTGCCTGCGCTGCACATCCGAGGATCCCAAAGTGATTTTGGAGAACGCGCGAAAAGAGATGTCCTTTATGCGCACTCTTATAATGCACATGGACACGACGCATGTGGCCAATCTGGTCTAATGGATTGTTGGCCAGCCGCAATTAGCAACTACCTACCTACCAACCTACCAATATGTAAACGTTATTAATCTATCCTAACTTACTACCTACCAAATCTAACTTAAACTCAATTTGTATTTATACAAAGGACGGTGATGAAGAGCGATTAATCTTAACTCCTACTTTAACTTAAACTCGTTTTGCTACTCGAATTTTCTTACTAACTGCTACCAAAACCGAATGTCTATGAATTTAATTTTATTTCGTAATGTCTAGGAAGCTTGTAAAGATCAATGGCCACAACCACAAATACTTGAAGATCTTGTAACTCGTAGTGCTTTTTCAAACCAAAAATAGCTGAAAGATGAATCCAAAACTGAAGACTCAATGTGTGCATGCCTAGTTATGTCTCAAATTGTAGTTGAATTAATTTATTTTGCATTTTAACTGTTGTTTTTCTTTAAATGGAATTTAAATCAAAGCAAGCAAGCAAATACTCAAAGAAACTCTTAACTCTCAAACAATGCGAAGCAAAGCAAACCTTGAACAACTTCATGCGAAGCCTATAAATAGTTATAAAATAAAGCTAACGATAAATTAAATTAAACTCTATATATTATGATGTACACTGTATGAAGAGAAGAGGATCAAGTTGGAGAACCGAGAGAGAGATAAGTGAATCAAATGCAATAAGAGGTCAATGATGAAACTGCTTATTAATTACTTGCAGCCAACGTAGTGCTATATACAAAATATTTATTCATTTGCATAAATAAAAGAATGAAAATAAATTGATAAACCAATGTTCAGATCCAACGCAATTTAATGGAGTCAAGTCAAGTCAACTGGATATATATATAAATATGTATTAAAAACCACAACTTTCGAGGGTGATCGAATAAAGTTATAATTGTAAAACCGAATTGGAAAACATTTCGACAAGTTGTTATCAGTACACAGGGGTATTATAAATTCAGCCTGCTCTTCCTTTGCTACAATTAATGCGTGCGAGGAATATTTATGCCCAATTTCGAAGTCATTTCAAACCGTTTGTCTCCTGATAATTGCTAATAATTTAGCGTCACTTGACGACCATAAGCCCCCCAGGCCATGGCACCTTATCGAACAGCGTAGTTTTTGGGCTGTAGGCCTCGTCAATGTCTCGAATTGGGCGCATTTACTTATCGCATACCGCCGAAAAACGCTTTTCTTTTCAAAAGAATTCGACGCTCGTACTTTTATCGCCATTCATTATTCATTTATTTTGGTTTAATTTTTTTGTAAAGTACAAAATAGTTCTTGAATGGTCGTTACTGCCTTACCATTGAGAGCTCCCCCGTAGGCCTCTTACCCGCCACTACAGCATATTCGAACCATTCACATATTGATAAATTTGAATACTCACCTTGTGATATGTCACAAAATGGCCGTCAGGGCCCGGGTGCAAAATGTATATCTTGTCGGTCGATGGGATTTTGTCGGGGATTACACAACTGACTGTCTGATAGCAGAGAACAAGTGTCTGCTCATGATGAAGCGGTGAAGTGTTAGATCCGGGGATTACAAGTGCACTCGGGGGTATAGAGTTCGCCCATATCTTTGAAAATCGACTTTGCATAAATTAGTTCCTTAAATACTTTAATGTTTTTGTAACTTAAGAACCTTAAAAAATGTTTAGGTACTGGGTATTTCGTTTTTATTTGAACAGAATTTTAATCTTTTTCGTTTGTATGTACCTTGTTTTTAAGTAATTACAATGTTAAAGTTATTTATACCATTAAGATTCGAATATTGTATTATTCATTTATTCAATGCTTAAGTTCTTGGAAACTTCTGTATGACTATTTTATTATTTCTGGGTGTCATAAAATTTTAATCGCCAATCGATTGACTGAAGTTTACTACCTTTTGCAATGAAGAACCCCCTAAAAACTTTCAGAATTTGTTAAATCATTTGAAATTGAGTCATTTATTAATGTAGTCATAAAAATTCGATCTTTGCATGACGAATTTCTAGTAATTACACCATAATACACTACTTCATCGTGTGAAATGAAAACCATTTCTCCACCATGAGAAACTAAAGATTTTCATTGTACCCCTAAAACTCCTGGGAGCCCGAAACTTATCTCGAAGATACAAACTTTTTGGGGGCGACCTGAAAAACAATATCAGAGAGGTATCTATATCTATCGAGTCATGTTGTTGAATCAGCAACAATAACAACAATTGGAAGCATTTATGGGCTCTGTTTATTTTTTTTTTTATCACCCAACCCAAAGGCCGAAATCAGAAGTAATCCATCATCTGGGAGGCTTTACGAGGAGCCCGAGTACAACTGATAAGACACCCCCGAAATACCTATCCACAACTACAGTTATACAAACGCATATATTGTTCCCGAAAAGCAGAAAGAGAGGGCACCAAACACCATCGCCGAAATCATAGCACAAACTCGATTACTCAATCAAAGCGATATTTTCCGAAGGGAAGGACATCTCCCAGAAGGGGGCGGGGGTGTGTGGGGGCTAATAGAGCGAAAGAGAGAGATTGGTAATTTTAATTTGTTTACAACAACAATCAACAGAATATAATAACTGAACAGTAGCCGAGCGAGAGAGAAACCCAAAACCAGGTAACAATACCGATAAGGGGTGATTAACAATTACTCGATCAAAAGCACCGACCCGCCGAGTGGGAGGGTGGTGGTCTGGGTGGCTTGGCAGCTCAATAAGCGCCCGAACAGGGACCGTGATTTATACGACTGCGGGGATCGGATCGCCGATTGGGTGTCCAACCACCCGAAAGTCGAGCTGTCGTGGTCCGCAATTGGAAATTGGAAGTGGAATTCGAAATCGAAATCGAGTGGAGTGGAGTGCCATCGGAGCCACTGGAGCGCCCACCAACCACCACTCGCTTATCAATCGATGGCCGGTAGCCCGGCATTATCTCCCTGGCGCGGCATATCTACATACCGCTCTATTATTGTTAATATTGATATCTACCCATTAGCACAACATTATAGGTACAATCTATTATATTCTGTGAAATCAGATTTGGTACAATTTATAGCGACCCGGGGCTTCGACTTCTTCGGCCGGTTGTTCCATTAGTTCACCGCCTGCGGCCGACGCAGTCGCTTCGATCGCTCCGGAATCGAATCGTTAACACTTTAACGGTGATCTATTATAACCCACGGAGATCCCAGAATGGATATGGGTACCAAGTCCGGCAAGGCCGCCTTCTCCATTGAGAATATCTTGGAGCAAAAGACAAGGACAGCTATTGAAACACCCCATCGATCTCAGTCACGTCGAGGATCCGCTCAAAGTCCTGGGGCAGGAACAACGGGAATTCCTTCTCCACCTGCACTGGCGATTCCCAAGGCATCGCTGGCCACCAGCTCATCCTCCGCCTCCACCTCCAATATCTACGATCTGTCCCGCGAGGCAGCCGCCGCCCAGTATGCCCTCAAGAATATGGACTCCAGTACCGTGCTGGCGCCCACCTCGCTACGCTTCAACCCCATCTACCCGGATCCCGCCTCGCTGTTCTACCAGCAAGTGCTGAACCTCCAGAAGAATCCCTCGCTCTTCATGCCCCACTTCCAGGCAGCCGCAGTGGCCGCCGCAGCCGCCGTCCAACCGACAGGCTATTGTGATCAATACAGTCCTTTCGCCATGGATTGCGAGGGTGAGTAATATCTAAATAAGAGTAATTATACTAATATAGGAATTAGTTGAGTTAAGAATAGGGGAGAGTGGGGGAATTTCGTCAGCATTTTTTCAAAGCTATTTTTTGTCCATCTTGAGACACGTTATCATATTTCTATTTTTATTGTTGAATGCGGTTAGCACCAAGCTTTAAAATGTGACATTCCCCTATTTTTTTAATTAGCTTGGTGATTTATAAAAAAATAAAATGTAAAACCAATATACTGGGGCAATCTCACCACACAGGGGGGTAAAATCACCACACAACTGGGGAAATTTCGTCACCTGAAAAATGTAGGGAGTTTAACGCCTGAAAATATGCTACACTGATCAAGCGTACCATTTTTGTTGACGTCCTATATTTGTGGCTGCTGCTGGTAGTCTGCTCGTTAGCCAGCTCGTCAAATATAAAAATATGTATTTAAAATAGGTGCGAATTTACCCTTAGCGTACGGTGGCGAAATTTCCCCAGACCGTACTTTTTTAGAAATAATTATTTTTCTTGCGAAATTAGGCGCGAAGTTAAAAATCACTGACGCAGAAATGCACATTATAGCACTGTGTATTATATAAAAAATCGTATATCTTATTCCTTTTGAATTGTGGCATACAGAAAAAATTTCGTCGAGAACTAAATGTAGCTTTTGAACTGTTAAAACACATTTAATATTATAGCTTAATTATCTTGGCCTTCTGTGCAAAACAAATGCATTGGTTGTGTCTGGCCGTCTTGAAGGACTAAAACAAAAAAATTATATATTTTTACGACTTATGGATTCCGAGATATTGCAGGTGACGAAATTGCCCCTGTGACGAAATTCCCCCACTCTCCCCTAATATATTTTTATAGAAGTTTCTGTACATCGAAGCTTATACCTTGTACTTTAAGACAATTTGTGCAAACCCTTTTGCAAAATCATTCACCAATTTCATCATTTCGAAAATCGTATTAATATCTTATTATAAAAAGTTAAATTCTCATTTTTTGCGTGATCAAAAATTTATTTATTTCAAAGACTACACTGCATTTCAGTACTCCAAAAGGTACGTAATAAAAATAGAAAAAAGCTTTAAAAAAATATTTGTTAGATAGTAAAAAGTCCTTTAATAGGGTCTTCCCACAGAGCTCCATCCACCATCTACCATCCGTTGAACGGATGGTCCGTAAGGTTTTGCCGTTCCGAAAATTTCCCAGTTAGTCCGCCATCCAATTTTAACGGACTTTGACGGGCTCTTTTATGCGATAGTTAGGCGATGTTTTCTCGGTGCAACTCTGAATTCTTCCTCTTGACTGTGAAAATTGGAACGATGACTGCGAGAACAAATTAAATCGATGGCGGGAAAAAATTAAATAATGCTTCAGCTCATTGTTTTTTGGGTTTTTTTTTAATTTTTTGTAGTTTGTTATGAGCGGAAAAGCGTTCGCAAGCAGGTTGTTATGTGTGGGCCAAAATGTAAGCTGTCGTGCGTACGAAAACATAAATGTTTGCAGCAAAGCGTCAAAATATGTTCTGCACTTCGTAAATATAACTAATGTTAATTAAAAGTGTACTTTGTACTCCTATAAAGTTCCAAAGTTGCTATAATTTACCATAAACAGCATACATTTGGTTTTGTTTACAAATTTTTCATATTAATATTGGCTAGGCAGAGGCGTAGTAAGAGCGGAGTGTGGGGTACGGGAGGTTAGGCTCCCCCGCAGTCAGCATTATGTATGCATACTCATTGTAGGATATGTTATAAACGTTCAGATATGTTAATAAACTATATTTTTAATCTATTTATTGTATTATTCTCCAATAAAATTAGGAGAACGCAATTTTACGACAGTTTTTCCGAGTTAAAATCCCCCTTCGTTAATGTTGCGCTGAGCAACTGCTCTTCACTCAGCTATTATTGGATGGTAGATGGTGGATGGAGTTCTGTGGGAACACGAGTTTCACATTCGTCAAAAATCCCAACCGTTTCAAACGGATGGACTCTATGGGAAGAGGCTATAAAGCTGTACCTTTTGAGCTCATTACCATTTCATCATAGATATTATTAAGACCGGAAATGAGTCACAAGCAGCGTATCTGGTATAATGAATGAATGAGCGATACAATTATCAATTAAAGACTGAAATGCTGATAAACGCCAAAACATTCATATCTATAAAAATGATATGTTAATTCTTTAAAATTAAAAATAGAACGCAAAGTACACACAAAATCTTAAACTATATTTCTTATAAACTTTCTCACACTTTCAACCAAAGGCAAAGGATTAGGAACTTCCCCCTTTTGATTATTCCAAGTTCAAGTCATTGAACCTCAGCATGCTGAAAACTTAATCTCATCAAACTGACATATGGAAATTGATCGACCATGGGAATAGTCCTACATAAAAATCCTCATTTAAATGCAGTCTTAACTAGCCTAAGTCCAAAGTGTCCGAACCACCCAAATATTACAATGGGGATCCCACACAAAATGGGCCATAAACATGATTAATGTGTGTGTGCAGTTGGGTGTTTGTCAAAGTCAAGTGTTGGCGCCAATGCCACTTGAAATCTCACAATCCCCACCTCAAAAATGCATTTCCCGGTTAGTTCTCTGTGCAATGTAACGGTAGATTAGCCCCAGGAAATCAGTCAGGGAAATACGTAATGGTGATAAAGTCACAGCCCCAGTTCCATCCCCTCCACATTCGGATCGGAAAACCCACGAAATATTTTCGGGGGCCTTATCAAAATGACAAATATTTGAAATTGAGGTGAGCAAAGTGACAGTTGGACCCTATTTAAAAGGGATTATTGTTGTCCCCGGAAAATCGAAATGCTTGAACTCATTCATGCAAATAAGCTTAACTGTGGGAAATGCTAGGACATTTTTTAGATTAACAATTAAATCTTTAAGTAGTATTTGGATATGACGAAAAGGTCCTTTTAAGATAATGAAAATCTAACGAATTTTAGTGGCAATTGAAGTTATAAGTATAGGTAAAATCAATTAAATAGCTCCAAGTCTCCTTTTCTAAGAAACCACTCCATTCTTGTTCTTATCATTTCGTTGCATTATCATTTTAGAAAAATTTAAATTGAGTTAAGCTCATTTTATACTACGCCTTTTAACCCATAGAGCATTTATTAGTTTAGTATGCCCATTCAGATAGGTGTATCTTTTCGTATAGCCCACTCCATTTCCATTGCTATTCCGATTTCCGATTTGTTTTGGCTTATCTAAACGAAAAATGCTATTAGAGGCGATTAATAGGCGCTGTCCATCATCTTATAGCGACAATTGCCATTTGATTACGATAAGCCCGTCCGCTGTCGACACTCGTCCGCCCCGAAAAGGGGTAAAAGTGGGAGAGGGAAGGGTCCGACAAGTACCTGATATGATTTTACTCTTTCTTTTGGACACGCACATTATAAAATAATAACAAATCCAATTTTGAGCGATTAAATACCTTGTGGAATCGCAGAATGGGGGTCTACCCATGGGGAAAAAATTCTTATCACTGGGTACGCCACTTAATAAAAATAACCGTTAATAAGTCTATTTGTAACAATTTAAATTATGGCATTTGCAATCGAATGTTATTTATTTAACGGCATTTGGCAGTTTCCAAAAGTTCTTGGAATCTAAATGGTAGATTGGTTCCCCTTCATGAGGTAACTGAGTCCCGAAATATCAGATTAGTTCAGCAGTGCCGGAATGAGCGTAATTCAAATACGCGACAAGTGCGAATTTCCGTTACGTCAACAGAAAAGCTCTCCTCCCCTTATCATATTATACTTATATACCATACCGTACATATAGTAACCACAATCGGATTGCCTGTCGGGTGGGCAATTGATTTCGCTCAATTGCCCTGGAATCTCGGCGCTCAGTCGATGTCGATCCAATGGCCACCAAGTCTTCACCCACTTACAAGTGGGCGTTGACATATCCCCCGATACGGATACTGTGTTACTGATATATTCCCGAACACCCATACACTTGTACGACTCGGAATTGTTGTGTCCGATTACTTTGATAAGCGTTGGTGGGCGGAGATAGGGGATTCGGGCCACAGGAGCCACCAATCAAAACCCAATGATTGCACCACTTTATATCGAGTAGATAATTTAAAATTGTTATTCAAAGAAATCGATTGTTCTCGAGTTTTTCATGATATCTTTCAGTTATCTTTGGTTTGAGCGTGGACAGATAAATTTGGGTGGACAGATAAATTTGATAAATTAAATTGATTATATCACCTTATTATTAATGGGTAATTAGATAAATCAACCGCAAAAACCCAAGACCCTAAAACGCATTTTTGCTTCCACAAAAAAATAAAAGACAATCTACTCTAAATGAAAAATAATACAAATAATATTTTATTATTTATTTTTATTTTTTCTTGTTTTGTCTTTTTTTTACCTTTTTTTTTTTTTTTTTTTTTTTGTTTATTTTTGTATTCCTCTATATTAATTTTGTATTAGATTTTATGTTTTGTAAAATACTCTATTATTAATTTCTCCAAAGTGACCGATGTAATAATTTATAAGACCTAATCTTGTCGCATCGGGATAAAACAAATAAATAAATTAAATTAAATTGAATTAAACATTTTTAAGATCGAAATTTAGAAACTCAAACAATGTTTTTTACTCTATCCTGTGCAGGATTCCCGAATCCCGCCACCGCTGCTGCCGCCCTCTACTGCAATGCCTATCCGGCTGCCAGTTTCTACATGTCCAACTTCGGCGTGAAGCGAAAAGGCGGTCAGATCCGATTCACCTCCCAGCAGACCAAAAATCTCGAAGCTCGATTCGCCAGCTCCAAATACTTGTCGCCCGAGGAACGACGTCACTTGGCTCTGCAACTGAAGCTGACCGATCGCCAGGTGAAGACCTGGTTTCAGAATCGCCGGGCCAAGTGGCGACGGGCCAATCTCAGCAAGCGTAGTGCCTCCGCCATCCCGGGAGCAGCGCCCACAGCAGGATCCCCCTCCTCCGCCTCGAGTGGCGGGGCTCCCGTGTTGAATCTGGGCAGCGGGAGCAGGAGTGGCCAGCAGAGCGACGAGGAGGATCGCATGTATCTCTCCGAGGACGATGAGGAAGACGACGAGGAGGAGGAGACGGAGAATACCCCCAAGTGAAGCTCGAAGATTGCCCAGTTACTCATAAGATAGTTCAGTTTTTAGTTAGGTTAAATAAATGTATTTCAATAGAATTATGTGTAGTTCTGGTTGAAAGCTCCTAGTGGAACTGGTAGCTGTCCAGACAGGCGCAGTTGGGCAAGGTGCAGCGGGGCGCCAGGTTGGACAGGTGGCCCATGGTCACCGGGAAGGAGAGCGGCACGAACCACTTGGGGTAGGCGCATATGGCGGCCGCCGCTGCCGAGGCGCTACTCCCAAAGACCGGCGGCTTCAGCTCCGCCATCGATTTGCTCTGGTACTGAAAAGGTGAGATATTGTTTGTTTCAAGAATATATTCCAAAAAATCTGTATATATTTTTTTTTTAAATTATTAAAAAAAGTTTTTGAAAACGTAAATCGATTTTAATTCAAATTGCAATTGCAAGGTATTTTTAAAAGGAAAGGAAGATTTAAGGATGGTTTTTTTGGTTTCACACAAAGATCAGAAACCTCAATTTATGGAAACAAAAATTCAAATAAATTCATACCTTGCGCGGATCCACGGGGGTGAAAAATGAAAGAAATTTTGGTATTCAACAAGTATGCAACAATAAAATTGTTCTGATATCACCCCCCACAAAAAAATCCTGTATCCGCCATTTGTTTTAATGTTAAGAAAATAATAAAATCGATTTTAACTCAAATTGCAACGTATTTTAAAAAGGAAGATTTAAGGATAGTTGGACTTATTGAAGTCTAAGCCGGCATTACCTCGAGTTTGCTAAAAACTTCTCTATAACGAAAAAAGGTCGTATCAAAAAGCTAAACTTTGGATAGTTTTTTTTTGATCACACAAAGATTAAAAGTCAAAATTTATGGAAACCAAAATTCTAATAAATTCATACTGTCCATTTGTTTTAATTTTATGAAAAGTGTGTTTGAAAATAATAAAATAAGCTCAGAATTTTTTTTTTTAAATTTAATTTTTTAAAGCTAAGAGAAATTTTTCCCTAATTCCAAATAAAATTTCCTGGTCCCTTACCTGATCTGTTATTACAGGCCTAAAGGCGCTGCTCCTGGCGGACGTGATCTGCGGAACGCTGGGCAAGATTCCTGGCTCCTGGCTGGGCAGCTGACTGGTTTTGGTGACATCCACTGGCTGGTCTTTGCCCGTGGGCGAGACATTCTCAATGGCCCGAATGAGATCGAGATCGCAGCGCTTGAGGACCAGTTCCAGGACAGATCGCTTTCGGTGGGGAAAGAGCTGGGCCAGCATATCGATGGCCGTTTGGGAGACATTGTCCCGCCGCGGAGCACTGAGATCCTGGGCCACCGCCGGTGGTTCGATGAACTCCTCCTCCGGCGGCAGAGTCTGCTGCTTTTTAGGCTCCTCTGAAAGAGGCTGCTCCGCCTGGTCACCAACTTCCCTCTGGGAACGCGGTGAACTGGGCTGGGTCACGGTCAAACCGAAAATATTGCCCGGCGGCAGGGCGTCGACGGAGCGACCCGTTTTGTTGGCCACCAGCCGCATGGCAATCGCATCCTCCACGGCCTGCTGACGCTTCAGGGCAACCTGAAAGAGCACAAATGGAAATTAATATGCGACAAGTGAACATCTCCGTCTGCTCCTGTTTGACTTTTCCGCAAACAAAGGCCACAGCAATTCCTTGGGGTATCGCTCGATCTAATGAAATGCGAGACGGAGCCACACTTGTGCAAACAGTTTTGGTAAGCGGATATTTTGGTCGATTTGTTCCTACGCCTTGACAACTTTCCATCATCATCACCAAAGGGGAGGGAATTCCCGACTGGTTGCCCTGAATGAATCTGTTCCCCGTATTCCGTTTCATTGGCTGTTTGAGTTGGCACTAGAAATGGGGTTCACCCATCGGCTATTTGTGTTTCGAATTGAGAGCTTGGCCAGCGCTTAATCTAAAGACAATATAAATGGTATAACTATCTTTCCAAGAAAGCTGGCAATTGAATTCAGTTACACAGATTGATTGAATCAGGATGGGGTGGTTTTGGTTAGAATTAGACAATAAAACAAAAGACAACGCTAAGGTCGAGTTCTTCGACTATCAGATACCCGTTACTCCGCTAAAGGGAGTGCGTTTAATGGATTGTCTGATTTAAAAATGTTCTTCTACATTTCGATTGGTATTTATTAACACAACAAAATAGCATTCACACTTTTACAAAATCTGTAAGGGTGTGAGCGCCAAGTTAAAAGTCCTTTAAGGCGATTGTGGGAGTCAGAGTGGGCGTGGCGCTCGGCTGAAATAAACTTGCGCTGCGTAGGAAGCCCAAGAATATGTGTGGGTAATCTCAACTTTCTAGGATTTGAAGTTTCCGCGATCTTAGCGTTCATACAGACAGACAGACGAATACAATATACCCTTTTACTCTCCGAGTAACGAGTATAAATAGCTCGTATAAATAGTACATAAAGCGAAGTAATAATTAAAAAACCAAGGAAATTGTCATGAAATTTGTATGTTAGGAAATTAAATATTTGGGTAAAAAAGTAAAATATTTTATTAATATCCTTATGTTGTGTTGCTTTAAAAAATACTTTGTTCTATCCAGGGAAGATAATTTTTGAGTTCCTATAGGAATACATAAAATATGTAAACACATTTACCTGGGCGGCCATAATGCGTTGCCTTTCGAAGATTAAGACACACTTGGCGCACTTGCAGTTCTTGTAGGTGCACAGTTTCTTATGGCCCCGTAGCTCCGAAATAATTCCATGATTACGACAGCGGGCACATTTGGGCACCCGATTGGCGGCCTTGGGAGCTTGGGGCTCAACTATTTTGGGAGCCTTGGAAGTGCCCGCTAAGCGAGGACGCTTCACTGACACTTCACCCACAGATTCACCACTTGTACTGGCCATTTAAACGCAGCCGAGAAACAGATTCAATTAAAACTGATAATTGCACAACGAAGTGGCTGCTTTGAAGCTGAAATCTGCGACTTAGTTGGGGACCAGCGAAAAGAAACTAAATTTTGGAAACACTGACTAAAGGATCTGGAATTGTTTCAAAAAGACTTGAGGAAACTTTGTTGACTTACGCAGGCGCTTTGGCTTTAATGTGGTTAGTTGAATTTCGAGGTCTGCGATTGGCGGTTGCTACAAGATTACACTCCTCCCCTTAAAGTCCAGGCAGGGGTTTGTGGGTGGAGCCAAACTTCGAAGGAGGTAGTGCTAAATGGTAAAAAAAATTGCACTACATTTTAATATCTTTTTGGTCAAAAACGAATTATTTGAAAAGCTACATTTTTAATAAAATGCGTTTGTTGAAGGACTTGCTGAAGTAATAAGTTTCTTTTTTTATGTCCATTTAGCGGTAATATTTTTTTTTAAATAAAAATAAACTTAAAAAATAAATTATATTTGCCTTCTTATTTCCTGGTTATAAGGAAATACCAAATATATGTAACCTTTTTTTAAATTTAATAATTTTTTATTATGTCTAGATTATATTATCTAGTTTTATAACGTCTCACAAAAAAATGATGCTAATGAGATATTCGTTTGGCACTCAAAGTGAATAGATCAAAAAAGTAACTTTGTACTGGGTATCAAATTGTCGGTTCCTCGTAAATCTATATTACATTTAACCGCAATATTCAAAAATATTTAATAAAAATATCGGTATTCCCAAGTCACGGCATACAAGTATATCGATATAAATATTTTTAAAGCTTTCGATGCCTAAGTATTTTTATCCAATTTTGCCATCCCTATTGTTAGACTCCCAATTGGACGGTTCTTATTGGCGCTGAGCTAGCACGTGTCCGGAGACTAGAGATCGAGAATCACCCACCATGGTTGCCCAGAACTCGGACAAAATGCGGGCCCTGGCCCTGAAGCTCTTCGAGATCAATGCCTTCAAGTTCGGCGACTTCAAGATGAAGGTGGGCATCAATTCGCCGGTTTACTTTGACCTGCGAGTGATCGTCAGCTATCCGGATGTGATGGTTAGTATTCCTATCCTGGTTTTTATGATAGATACTAATAGTCCGTAATACTACCTCCCCCAGCAAACCGTTTCCGATCTCCTGGTGGAGCACATCAAGGACAAGCAGCTGACCGCCAAGCACGTGTGCGGAGTTCCCTACACGGCGCTTCCACTGGCCACCATTGTGTCCGTGCAGCAGGGCACTCCCATGTTGGTGCGGCGCAAGGAGGCCAAGGCCTACGGCACCAAGAAGCTGGTCGAGGGCATCTTCAATGCCGGCGACACCTGTCTGATTGTCGAGGACGTGGTCACCTCCGGTTCGAGCATTCTGGACACGGTGAGGGATCTGCAGAGCGAGGGCATTGTGGTCACCGATGCCGTCGTGGTGGTGAACCGGGAGCAGGGCGGCGTGGCCAACATCGCCAAGCACGGCGTGCGGATGCACTCGCTCTTCACGCTCTCCTTCCTGCTGAACACTTTGCACGAGGCCGGACGCATCGAGAAGTCCACCGTGGAGGCGGTGGCCAAGTACATAGCCGCCGTCCAAATCAACAGCGATGGCAGCTTTGTCGGCGGCGATAAGGCCGACGTGGTCGGAGGTGCGTATGCTCCAGATCCCCCTTAGATATATACCAGTTAGTTAGTTAGTTAGTTGGATAGATAGATAGATGGACAGATAATAAGTACATGACACTCGGGCAGCACATGGCCTCGAACCAAATTCAATTAGGGGTATCATAAAGTTATACAACCGCCATAAACGGCGGTAAGCCGATCTGGATTCCGCACTCGGACCGGATCAAGTTCGCGGGAACGCGGCACGTGATTCTAATTCTGGGCTGTAGTGCTCCACTCAATTATGCCTTGCTTATCAGGCCACTCGAGGGCCAGTCCCCTCCTCCAATCAAGCCTATCTCGGGGCGGCCACTATAAATAAGCATGGCTGATTTTTTGGTTTGTTCAAATGTGTGTATAAGAACCGGTTCCTTTCTGATTTTCACCTGTAAAGGGAGGGAATTTTTATTTTATCTTAATTGATGGTATAACTTTTTGATATATGATAGAAAACGTGGTATCTTTAACCCTACTAAAAATATATTTGACAGAATGATCTTAGTTTCTTATCATATTAATGAAATTGTCTCGTAAAAAATATTTTAATACCATTAAAAATGTATTAAAAGTATTTTATATGTCATATGATACCTAAAAAAACATCATTAACCTTACAACCAATTTGAAAAGGGGTAGCATTAAGGTATACCTACTATCAGAGACATAAACTAATAAGTTAATTGATTCTAAAATATATAGAGGTGTCTAAAAATTATATATTTTCAATGAAATTGTTTCGTGCAAAATATTTTAATACCAATAAAAATGTATTACAAGTATTTCAAATGTCATATGATACCTTAAAAGCATCATTATTCTTACAACCAATTTGAAAAGGGGTAGCATTAAGTTATAAATACTATCAGTGACATAAACTAATAAGTTAATTGAATCTAAAATAGATAGAGGCGTCTAAAAATATATTATTATATATTTTCAATGAAATTTTTTGGTTAATAAATATTTAAATACCATTAAAAATGTATTACAAGTATATGTCATACGGTACCTAAAAAACATTATTATTCTTACAACCAATTTGAAAAGAGGTAGTTTAATCATACCTACTATCAGTGACATAAACTAATAAGTTAATTGATTCTAAAATAGATATAGGTGTCTAAAAATAAGAAATCGCGATAAGATAGACAACTCATATTCAAGTGGTGGTTACCACTCGTGTTTACTTTTCTTTCAGCCAACGACTTGCAGCGCACTAAACTGACCTACGAGAGTCGCGCCAACTTGGCCAAGAGTGCGGTGGCCAAGAGGCTCTTCAACCTGATAGCCGCCAAGCAGACGAACCTCTGCCTGGCCGCCGATCTGACCCGTGCCGATGAGATCCTGGACGTGGCCAACAAGTGTGGTCCGTACATCTGCCTGCTGAAGACGCACGTGGACATTGTGGAGGATTTCAGCGAGAAATTCATCAGCGCCCTGCAGTCTCTGGCCCAGCGACACAACTTCCTCCTCATGGAGGATCGCAAGTTTGCGGATATTGGCAACACGGTGTCGCTGCAGTACGGCAAGGGCATCTACAAGATTTCTAGCTGGGCTGATTTGGTCACGGCGCACACGTTACCTGGGCGCAGTATTCTGCAGGGTCTGAAGGCGGCGCTGGGCGAGGAGGCGGCTGGCAAGGAGCGCGGTGTCTTCCTGCTGGCGGAGATGTCGGCCAGCGGCAATCTGATCGATGCCAAGTACAAGGAGAACAGCAACAAGATCGCCACCGAGGGCGCCGATGTGGATTTTGTGGCCGGTGTGGTGTGTCAGTCCTCCGATGCCTTCGCCTTTCCCGGCCTCTTGCAGCTGACGCCTGGAGTGAAGATCGACGAGAGCGTGGACCAACTGGGCCAGCAGTACCAGAGTCCAGAGCATGTGGTTAAGGAGCGAGGAGCCGACATTGCAGTGGTCGGTCGGGGCATCCTGAAGGCCAGCAGTCCGGAGCAGGCGGCCCAAACCTACCGCGATCGCCTGTGGGCAGCCTACCAGGATCGAGTGGCCAAGTAGAAGATATAGCAGCCAGCATTCCCTCTAATCAAATATTCCCCCCCATTCCCCGGTTTCGGTTACCCTAGTTAAGTGAAAAAACTTGCAAATTCTTTTCCATGATTTTACAATGCATTTATGAATTGAATATAGGCTATGAATCTTCCACAGAAAAGTTGGCAAACGAGGTTTGCCTTAAGATTAAGAGTTACAACAAGTAGAATGGTTAACAATCGATGCGAAATGCTTCGGCGACGTGGATATCCTTAGTAGGAGGCCAGGCACTGCAACACGTAGCTGTAGTCTCCGGAGAGGTCGTCCTGAAAACAAAATCAAGAGGGTAGCAGAATAATGAATGCAAGCCCAGCTTTGCCGTTGAATGTAAGCCAACTTTATTATTTAATACAAGCACAAACTATACATACGAGTTCGATGCAGAATAATTTACAATAAAAGGACATGTATACAAAATAAAATACGTAGAAATGTTAAATAATCTTGCGTCGAACAAATCGACTTGGACGTTATTGCACAGAGGGTAAATACTAAAGGTTTCTCATAGATTGGGTATTTCGAACACATCACAACAGTATTTAGATAATTTCATTTGTTCTCCGCTTTTGTTATTCTTTTTAGGGAAATGCAAAGTATTTGTTTTTTGTTTTTGGCATTTTCTACTTTAGCAGTGGGAATTTATATATCCGGATGCATCCGTCTACCAAGCCGTGAGGGTGACCAGAACATATCCAATATCGGTCTCGGCATCCTCCTTTAGTTGTTTGGGTTTAACGGGTAGAGATAAAGCGTGAAAAGAGTAGAGGGTCAGAGCATTAAACGCTTTTACTTTGTATACATGGGCTATGTTTTGATTAATATCCGGAAGATATTCCTTTCAGGAGTTGGTTTATAGTTAGCGTAATATAAAGTTGATCATGGAAGTGATATGAACTATGGACAGCAAATTATAAGGCCTTGATTCTTTAAATTTTAAGCTCAATTCGAAATTATACATATGGGCCGTTCTTTTACAAACCAAACAGATTTGGCCAAAAAAAAAATTTCACATTTTTGATTTGCCTGAAACTTTTTTTACACGTACTATTCGGAAAATAAGTAAACACGTGTATCAGGATTTGACCAAAAAAAAATTATTCTTTTAGTTAGAATTTTTTTAAGTGTGCCAAAAATTGTCAAATTCGAAAAAGTACCCTCTCATTGAAAATCTGTATCTCCGGTCATATGAACCCAATTGACTTCATGTCTTTTGCATTAATTCCTCTAAAACCTCTCCTTTCAAAATAAAATTTCTTAAAAAAAAAAAGTTTTTAATTTCTTAAAAATAAAAACAAATTAAGATTTAAAAAAATTTTTTAACCATTGCCCCCACAAAAAAAATATTTTTTTTTACTTTAATACTTTCGCCATATTGTTAGTTACAATCGGTTTTTGTAAAAAGTTGGAGCCACTTTTAGTTTAGTTTTAGTTTTCAAAATATCGAATTTGTTTTAGCAAGGCCTCGGCTTTTTTCTATGAAAAAACGTCGCAGCATGTAGATTAACTCTCTCACTCTTATCGGATCCTTATGGAATTCATATTTTAAGTTAAGTTTTAAGTCTTTTGACAATTTCTGAATGACAAAAAGTAAAAAGTCATTTTTAATCAATTAAAAACTTACAATTATTTATTTAACCGTCTATTTAATAAACAAAAATTTTAAAATTTTTTTTTTTTATTATTTTTCTGTATTATGTAATTAATTAAACATTTTTAAATATTTTTTTTTAATATTTTGAAAAAAATTTATTAATTTTAAATTGTTTTATTTTTATTATATTAAATTTTTTTAAAAATTAAAAAAAAATATTTAAAAATGTTTAATAAATTACATAATATAAAAAAATAATAAATAAAATAAATTTAAAATTATTGTTTATTAAATAGACGGTTAAATAAATAGTTGTAAGTTTTTAATTGATTAAAAAATGACTTTTTACTTTTTGTCATTCAGAAATTGTCAAAAGACTTAAAACTTAACTTTTAATCATTAACAATTGTTTAAGGTCTAGTAAACAATGAGAAAACATGAATTCCATAAGGATCCGATAAGAGTGAGAGAGTTAATCTACATGCTGCGACGTTTTTTCATAGAAAAAAGCCGAGGCCTTGCTAAAACAAATACGATATTTTAAAAACTAAAAGTGGCTCCAACTTTTTACAAAAACCGATTGTAACTAACAATATGGCAAAAGTATTAAAGTAAAAAAAATTATTTTTTTGTGGGGGCAATGGTTAAAAAATTTTTTTAAATCTTAATTTGTTTTTATTTTTAAGAAATTAAAAATTTTTTTTTTAAAGAAATTTTATTTTGAAAGGAGAGGTTTTAGAGGAATTAATGCAAAAGACATGAAGTCAATTGGATTCATATAACCGGAGATACAGATTTTCAATGAGAGGGTACTTTTTCAAATTTGACAATTTTTGGCACACTTAAAAAAATCCTAACTAAAAAAATAATTTTTTTTCGGTCAAATCCTGATACACGTGTTTACTTATTTTCTGAATAGTACGTGTAAAAAAAGTTTCAGGCAAATCAAAAATGTGAGCCAATAAAAGGTGTTCGGTTTGTAAAAGAACCGCCCATATTTGAAAACTGATTTTACATGATATCTACATGCCATTGACATTTACTTAAAGCAAGCAGTTGAAGTAATTTTACAATGATTTTTATAAACACCATTTTCTATTAATGATCAAGTTTATAATTCTGGAAATAACCCATTTAAGACCAACTTTGAATGAATAAATATTAAATAACCATCGCCCTATGTGATGTACTGATTTAGCGCTGTTATTTACATGACAAGCAGTGCAGAAACCTCTACTAACGATAACGAAAACTCAATTTGAATTTTGTATTTTATTTTTTTGTATTGTTTTTTATTTTCCTTCGTTTTAAGTTAAAATGTATTGCAAATGAGACTCGAAACAAAACAGAAACCATAAGATACATATCAATGTACTAAAAGTGTAGGGATACAATCAATTAAATTGTAAATATAGAGATACAATCGTGTGCATGTGGCGTGCGTAGTCATAATAATAATAGTCACAATTATAATAATAATTAACAGGATGTGAGACTGGGGATTCTGATTCTACGGCTTTAAATGCACTGCGTGGCCTCGTTTTCAACTATTCGATATCAGAATTTCATTTGTACGTGGAACAGTCGAAATGGACAAGTTATTGTGGGATTGGGAGTTCTTTTTTTAGAAGCCAACAATAGCCAATAGCGCACGCTTATAATCGCCGGATGTATCGCCCTAAAAATATAGAATATGCCAAGTTTTAATGTTTTATGCACACATGTGAAGTAAACGGGCGGGAAAAAAGGATAGTGGCATCTGAATTCAACAAGAAAATGTGGGATCAACAAGAGAAGCTATCTGGATGGATGGTCGATGGATTGTTTGTAAATCTTTTCATAGACCCACGATTAATGGTGGTTATTGCAGGAGACAATCGAATGCGAGTTAGTGGTATTACAAAGTCAAGCAAGCACACAGAGAACAATTAAAATCAGTATTTACCTTGATCCAGGACTCCAGGCTCTTGCCGTACTTGTTCTGGAATGCCTCCTTGATGTCACCCAGATCGATTTCCGAGCGGCTGACGATGATGCGGATCAGCGTCTTGTCCTTGGTGCCCATGCCGGCCATGGAGTCGTGCAGGCGCTCCGAAAAGTAGTCGATCTTCGACTTGCAGCACTTGACTGGGGTGGGAAAATATTCAAGTTAAAAAGGGTAACGACAGGAAAATTCCAAAAAAAAAAACCCACCGATGGCCAGGAAGCCCTTCTCCACGGAGCCGCTGAACTCCCGCTTGATGGCCTTCTCGATGTCGTTGCCCGACAGGTTCTCGTACTCGAGGAAGATCTGGCGCAGCTGCTGGTAGGACCGGGTGATCAGGATCGAGTTGAAGGTGGACTCATCGGTGCCCCACTGTCCCTCGCCGGCATCGTGGAGAGCCTGGGCATCGGCAATGGCCGCCGCCTCGTCCACTCCCTGGTTCTCATCGCGGTTGCCCTGGACGAGCGAAACGCACAGCCGCTTGAAGTGGCCACTGGTGTCGCCCTTCAGGTCGGATTCCAGCGGTTTGCCGAAGCTCTGCTCGTAGAACTGGGCAATGGTCTTGATGCCATAGTTGGACAGCGTGCAGAGGATCTCGATGATGGCCTCCTCGTCGGTGCCCAGACCCGAGATGGCGTCGTGCAGCTCCTGGGCATAGAACTGCGGCAGCGGCGTCATCAGCGCCAGGATCACATCCTCGAACTTGCCGCCCAGCTCGGACTTGAGGTCCGAGATCAGGTCCTTTCCGTACGAGGTCTTGAAGGCCTCGGCGATCTCCAGGCGCTGGACGATGCCACGCCGGGCCAGGATCTCGATGATGGCCTTCTCGTCGGTGCCGAAACCCTTCATCGCCTTGCGCAGAATGGCCGCATCCTCGACGGGATCGAAGGGATCCGCCGGGTAGACGGTGGGGGTGCACTGAAAAAATAATAAAATATAAATATAATAAATAAGTGCCAATCACCAAGTGAGTAATACGAGTGAGTAGGAGCGACTATTTAAATGCAAGGCACGTAATCCCAAAAAGGGTGCCACCCCACAGTGGTGACTCAACATTATTTTTGTATGGCATGTATTTGTACTGTTTACCCCCTGTGCTATGCATAATTTCCTCTATAATTATGTCTTGATAAGGTGCTTTTTAAATTCCCTATTCTACTTCATTTTTATTTACTTTGCTATGACTCTTATCTGAAGTCCTCTTATCACTCTCTTTTCCTATCTGTCAGAACTTGTTTTTCAAAAATACTCTGGTATAATATACACCACTTGATGAACATTTAATAGTCGAATTACAGATAATTACTTAGCATCTGGTTGGGGCAGAGAGAAAAAATTTATGCATTCTTGAAAATAAATCTATTGGAAATAAGCCAATTTTACTGCTCTTTTAAAAGATTTTTCTTTGTAACTGTCTGTAAAATAACTGTTTTTTTTATTTTAAAATTATTTTCTAAATTGTTCTTTTGTTCTGCTCTTTTAAAAGATTTTTCTATGTAACTGTCTTTAAAAAACCTTTTTTTTTTAAATTACTTTTTAAATTGTTCTAATCAAAAAGTATTGTAATACACCTGACTAGCAAATTAATAAGTAAGTTTAACTGATAGTGCTAGGAATTTAAATAAATAATAATAATTACGATGTATGAAGGACTATATCGATTTAAAATAAACACTTTTAATGATACCGAGCTAATGAAAAGATGTTATTATATCTGAGTTTTGATTTTTCTAATGAGATTAATCATCTCAAATATATTTGACTTTGATGGATTCACAGCTCATCACAGAGCCTCCTTTTCAATCCATTGCAAACTCACCTTGAATGGGTAGTACTCAGCGGAACTCATTTTGATTGGGTTGTTGTGGAAAATCTGTAAGTAGGAAGTGAGAAATCATAATGAATAATGGCTCAAACCAAAGACGTGATAGAAAATTAACCCCCAGCAAGGTCAGCCACATTATGGCCCCTAGAGCTAATGAAACCGGCCTTTATTTTCAGGCCCTGCCCGGTGACATCATCAAAGTAGTAAAAGCCGCCCATTACGCATACGCCCCGTAGCCAGCCTGGCGCTGGGCTAAAAACGTTTTTTCCCATTGATTTTTTTCCCTAGTTTATTTACCCAGATGTTTTTCTAGTTTTCGTTTCCAAAAGCGAAGCCCAAGCCAAGTTCAACGTACTACGCCGGGGAAAGTAAAAGTTTTCAGTTTTCAGTGGGCTGTTTTGCAGGAGGAACTTCGGAACCGGGTGCGTCTGATAACCAAATGGCCTTTTCAGGTAGTTTCGTGATGGGCCAGACCGAACCCACACGAATTGGCCTCATAAACGGATGAGCTCATTGCGTTCTGCTTTGGAACACATCGGGCACGGCTCGTTTGTGGCCGAGAGAAAGCTTCAGGGAAATGTCTTGGCCCCCTTTTTTGTTCTGAGCACTTCACTTCAGTTGTCAAGTGGAACACTATCTCGGGGAGCGAATCCCCATAAGCCCTCATAATCACAAAAATCAATAGGCCAAATTGCTTAATGATAAATTGATTGAATTTTCCGATCGCTCCTGAATTAGTTGGTGCCGAAACTACAGCAGAAAATATGCTTGCCTTTCTATGCTGCCGCCAAAGTAGAAAGTCAACAAAAGGCAGCTAAAATCAGCATTATAAAAGACTTGACGTGGCGACGCCACAAACAGGCCATACCAAAAAAAAAAGAGCCACAACTTTGGACGCCTCTGCAGTCAAGCTATAAACAAACAAAAATGTTTTGGCCACAATTCAAACCGGTTCTTATATGTATGGTATACAGCTACAGTCAAAACAATAGCATATATCTTAAGTTCTTTAACAAAAATGTTTCATATTATTTTGATAATATAAAATATGAAATTATGCTGATATATAGATATTAAATGAATATACTTTGAAATAAAATAACAGAAAAAAATAGTTGTGATTTATTTTTAAATTTAAAACTTAAGAAAATAAACTTTAATACAAAAACAAACAAAAATTTTATAAATACTCAGTGCTATTATTTTGACCTGAAATGTATTTTTAAAGACATCTACATATGTCTGGAAACACCCATAAATTACAATGCTATTGTTCCAGTTGTAGCACTATTTGGAATTTGTTTTTGAGACTGGAAAATGCTAGATACGTCATCATCTGATGATGTTGTTCTATAAATAACCATCACACTATCATGACGTGTGATACATTTGAATTTACAACACCCAATGATTCACAAGATTAGTGACGTCAATTGGAAGCTTTGAGCACGACTTGAATAATAGAGCTATGCAAAATCTAGATATCATGGGAAAGAGAGCTCTGGAATTGGAACAACTCGTGACTTTATGTGTGAGCAACTTCAAAAACAAAAGCTTTTACTAACTTCTTTTAGAGACCCTGACTGACTGTACCTTGAATTGAAATTCCGAAATGTTTTACAATAGTGCACGGCAATTTAGTCGGTAATAAACCTTGATGACACACCTATACTAGTATAATTGCACTACAAGTTATGGAAGGCGGAATGTGGCCACATCCGATGAGTAATACTGAGTAAACCCGCAGAGCGCTTATTCCCAAGATTTACTGTAGTTTAAAGTCTCTGTCAGAGCAATTGAAGTTGATTGAATTACTAAATTAAGAAGGGAAACGGTACGGGAGAGACGCCATTTCGAAGAATTCCGTTTCCCACCCCAAGTAAAATGAAAAAGAGGAAAAGAACGAAAAGTTTACTTAGATTTAGTGGGAGATGTTCAAAAGTCGCACGAGTCTGCGAGAGAAAACGCCAAAAGAGAGGGGCTTTTGATGATGTCATCTTTGGTTTTTCGAATTTGTATTTTTTCCCCCCACCTGTTTTTACTCGAATTGAATAGAAGTTCGAAGTAAATAGAGAAATTTCGCATCTCGCTCTCTCCCATGGAAGATTCTGGAGAATTCTTCTGATGCCGCGCCCAGAATTCTACAAAATGCCCTTGGCACCAATTACAACAATCTTCGATTGCTTAGCACACACTTTCTTTTCACTTTTCTGATTGCTTTTGCACTTGAATTTGCGATTGCTGGCACGGCGAGAGTAAACAAAATGTTTTTTATCTACAAATTCCCATAAATTTACCAACGATACTCGATTTTCAACGTACAAGTCTGGCGATGCGATGCGAACAGCAAGCGATGTGAATAAATACTTGGCTTTTCGAACTGCGAACACCCCTATTTATAGTTGGGGCTCTCCGCACTCGTCGTTTCCAACGATTGGAAGTCAAAAAGCCGGCCGAATGGGATCCAAGAGAGACGAGAGTGGAGAGCCGTGAGAGTTGGTTTGTTGTGCGCTCTAACTAACTAATAAATAAAAAAATATTAGAAATTATTTATTCAGAATTTTCTCTTAACTTTAGCACATTTTATAAAATCCCCCCTTGACTAGAAGGAGGTGTCCCCTCTCCCACGCCTTAAAAACAGGTGAGAATGTAATGAGTTCTCAGAGTAAATACAGTGAATCATTATTGGAAGCTGTTGTTGTCATCTCAGCTATGACGAAAGAGAGATAACAGTAACGACATTGGGAAAATAATAATAGAACTGATTAATGATTTAATTTCAAAATAGGACCTTTGTATTTCACTTTTTGTTGCAATTCCACATGGGACTTGGATCTGGTGCAAAAGTATATTTTGATAAGATTGATAAGATCAGCATGCAACATTAAAGCATGCAACAATCATTGTCTTTGTATACCCTAAGAAAAATAATAAATCTTATATTTTGAATAAAATTTTACATTAATACTGGAAGCACTTCATAATAAACTGCACATTAAAATTAAAACAAACGAACAATAATTTATTGTTATCAGGAAATTGTATTCATATTTTTAAAAGCTAAAACATGAAAAAAGGGGTGCCATCGAAATCTCTTCATCGCTAAGTGGTGTACAATTTATATTGATAAGAGGAAATACAAAATGAAATGAAAGCATATTCCCATAGGAGTAAATACAAAATGAAAGCAAAAGCAGCAATAATACTTTCTCATTTCAAAAAAAATTATTCATACGGGGGTGCCACAGAAATGGCGCAGCCCTTGGCGCTCCATTTGTTTTTTTTTTATCCCATTTGTAGCAATATTATTGGTCATAATTAGTAGATTTCATTGCAATTTGCTCTCTATATATACCCAAATAAGTGCTCGAAGCAAGTTGTCCTATCAATTTTCCTGATGTTTGAAAGAACCGCCATAATTATCGATCAAAGCTCAAAATTGCGCCTATGTATCGATTTTCGCAATGAAAAATATCGAAAGAAGCGCATCGTGGTTCACCCATCTCTAGTTTATTTTCCCGTTTTATTGTCATTTTATTATCGAATTTCGATAGGCCGGTCCAATTTATGAATCAATTGTTTAACCCGGAAATTTGCAGACTTCGAAAGGCTCCAGCGACACGGCAACAGATCAGCAGATTCCCCCCCTGCAGTTAGTCACCGGGATGTGAGTATACACACCCTACCATCGCCAGAGGCGTCTTGTTCTCGATGCGGCGTCGGCCCCTCCCTTCTTCGGTGTTTTGTGTCTTGTTATCTTGGTTAATGGCCACGAATCGCAGAAAAGAAAACCTGCACCGACCACTCACACTCGTTATGGTGTTTATCTAACCAGCAGATAAGGATAGGCGAGTAGCCGCAGTTAGCAGAAGCAGCGTAAACAGAATGTGGAAGGCAAGCGCCGGTCACCAGATTCAGGCCACCAGTGCCTCCGCCGCCGCCGCGGAGGACGACGACTGGGAGACGGATCCGGACTTTGTGAACGATGTCAGCGAGCAGGAGCAGCGCTGGGGGTCGAAGACCATCGACGGCAGCGGCCGCACCGCCGGCACCATCGAGTGAGTCATGCGGTGATTCTCGAGAAACCCAATATCAGGTTCATTGTTCCCCCGTTTTGCCTTTCAGCATGGACAAGCTGCGCGAGGAGACGGAGCAGGCGGATCTGGACAAGAAGAAGCAGCTGCTGAAGGATCAGAACGCCGGCTACGGGTACGGCGGAAAGTTCGGCGTGGAGAAGGACCGCATGGACAAGTCGGCCGTGGGCCATGACTACCAGGGCAAGGTGGGCAAGCATGCCTCGCAAAAGGACTACAGCGATGGCTTCGGCGGCAAGTTCGGCGTGCAGGAGGATCGCAAGGACAAGTCCGCCGTGGGCTGGGACCACGTCGAGAAGGTGGAGAAGCATGCCTCCCAGAAGGACTACGCCACTGGCTTCGGCGGCAAGTTTGGCGTGCAGTCGGATCGCGTGGATAAGTCGGCCGTGGGCTGGGATCACATCGAAAAGGTGGAGAAGCACGAGTCCCAGAAGGGTAAGTGTCTGGGGCGACAGTTTATGTCAGTGTTGCCAAATGAAAATTCAGCTTTCCCTTTAAAAAATCTTAAACAGTCGATATATTCCTCTAAAAAATTCAGTTTTTCCCCTAAATTCAAAAAATCAGTTAATTTCGAACCAGGGACCGAAAATTACTGTTATTGTTAATTTTTCTTACCAAAAAAATCATCCACTTAGAAGAGTCCTAAATTTTTTTTTTTTAACACCACTATTTTTATTAGCCATTGTAGTTTACAAATCCGTAATGATTTTTATTTATTCGATTTTTATAATAAAACTCAAAAAATAACTGTTATTTGTTGATTTTTATGTATAACAGTTATTCCCTTGACATTTAAAAAAAAATTAAATAATTAAAAAAACATGCTAACCGTGTTTTTATAACTTACTAAAAATCTTTAAAAAAAATCCAACCGTGCATATTGTACACCTATATTTTTTTACCCACAAAATCGCTATAAATCAAGTTTGATTTTTATTTTTGATTACGACGAATAACTGTTATTTGTCAACATTTATTATAAAACTAAAAAAAATAACAGTTTACTTTGAGTTTTACTTTACGAATCCGAAAACAGTTATTTTTTAAAATGTGATTTTTAACATATAACTCATAACAGTTATGGTCCCTGAAATTCAGCTTTTCCCTTAAAAAATCTCAAACAGCCGATATTTCCCCCTAAATTCAAGAATCAGTTAATTTCGATAATGTACAATATATTAGAAATATGTCAATATGACGTTGTAGAAATGTTAAGATTGGAAAAATCTGTGTACTCGAAAGGAAAGTCGAGTGTATTTATACCCGTTACTCGTAGAGTAAAAGGGTATACTAGATTCGTGCAAAAGTATGTAACAGCTAGAAGGAAGCGTTTCCGACCCCATAAAGTATATATATTCTTGATCAGGGTAACTAGCCGAGTCGATCTAGCCATGTCCGTCTGTCCGTCTGTCCGTCTGTATGAACGCTGAGATCTCAGAAACTACAAAAGCTAGAAGGTTGAGATTTCCCACACATATTCTTTGGCTTCCTACGCAGCGCAAGTTTATTTTAGCCGAGCGCCACGCCCCCTCTAACGCCCACAATCGCCCACTAACGATTTTAAAATGGGTCCTGCGCCCACATCTTTAAAGATTTCCGAGAAGTATAAATGCAATTTTGTTGTGTATATTTATACCTATCGAAATGTAGAAGACATTTTTCAAATCGGACCATTCATTAAAAAGTTATACGCTTTATAAATTGTCAACATATATCTATCTCCCTCGCACTCCCTTTAGCTGAGTTACGATTATTAGTCGGGACACCAACCCGACACAGCGTTCGCACTCCCTTTAGCTGAGTGACGGGTATTAGATAGTCGGGACACCAACCCGACTATAGCGTTCTCTCTTGTTTTTTTATAGTTTTGAAATGTTTTAGGAAGTCACAATATTATTATCATAAGAAAATTTCCGGAAAAAAACCCCTAAATTTCTCCTCCCTAAAATTCCCCCTAGCACGTCAAAAAACCCCTAAATCTAGGGGAAAACCCCTGATCTGGGAACACTGGTTTATGATCCAAAATTAGGTTAATAATCTCTTCTTTCTAACTCAGATTACTCCAAGGGCTTCGGCGGCAAGTTCGGTGTGCAGGAGGATCGCAAGGACAAGTCCGCCGTGGGCTGGGATCACATTGAGGCACCGCAGAAGCATGCCAGCCAGGTGGACCACAAGGTCAAGCCCGTGATCGAGGGCGCCAAGCCCTCCAATCTGCGTGCCAAGTTCGAGAACCTGGCCAAGAACTCCGAGGAGGAGTCGCGCAAGCGGGCAGAGGAGCAGAAGCGCCTGCGCGAGGCCAAGGACAAGCGGGATCGCGAGGAGGCCGCCAAGAGGACTGTGGCTGAGAATACGCCACGCACCTCAACCGAAACGCCACCGCCCAAGGGCAGCAGGGCGGCCATCCAGACGGGACGAACGGGAGGCATTGGCAATGCGATCAGTGCATTTAACCAGATGCAGTCGCCTGTAACGGAAACTCCTCCAGCGCGCAAGGAACCCATCGTCATTCCCAAGGCTCAGCCTGTTAAAGTAGAAGCAAAGGAAGAGCCAGCGGTTGCTGCTGCTCCTGCCTCTGTTGTTGTTGCCCCCGCTCCTGAGCCAGAGCCAGTTGCAGCTCCAGTGGCGAAGGTTGCAGCTCCGCCACCGGATGTGGTGCCCCAGATTGAGGTGGAAACTGTGGCGACGCCGCCCAGAAGTGAGCCGCCATCTCCAGTGCACGAGCCCACGCCTCAAGCTCCAGTCCAAGTGCAACCTGAACCTCAAGCCGAACCTGAGCCAGTCGTTGAAGAGGAGCCACTGTATCAAAACCAGGCAGAGATTAAGGCCGCTTCGCCTTTGCCGCCCACGAATGGAGCAGCTTCCGAGGCAGTCGCTTCGAGTGCTGCAGCCACCGCTTCCGAGGAGGCCATTTACGCCAACTCCGACAATTTGGCCGACTACTTGGAGGACACCGGTATCCATGCCATTGCGTTGTACGACTACCAGGCGGCGGACGACGACGAGATTTCCTTTGATCCCGACGATGTGATCACCCACATCGAGAAGATCGACGACGGATGGTGGCGGGGATTGTGCAAGAATCGCTACGGACTCTTCCCGGCCAACTATGTGCAGGTTGTGGGGTAGAATTCCTAAATGCTTCCAATTGAAATTCACGATAGAACAAAATCAAATTGTATTTACATACTAACGAAAACGATAATACTGATGTTGGATTATAAACCTATTCGCTACTAACCCAGCCCATTACGCATGTCCCCTCCCCCAATTATTGTTCCCCCTCTTGGCCCTCCAAATTATGTGCAACGAACCGCTAGAGATTGAAATTATTATTGTAATTTGTTATACTAGCATTTGAACGAGGTATTCCATATTTTATATATCATTTATTGCATTTTACATTCTTTGTATTTAACACGTACGTATATTTTTCAAAGAAAATATGCCAAGCTATTTATGTTTCATCCAAGCAATTTGTGGGCAAAATTTACATGCTGCTCATTTCATATTTTATACGTTGGTTATGAAGTTAAATGTGTCAAGTAACGATTTTGCTCTTTTTAAATTGTATAAAGTCTACGAGAGTTTCCTGCGTCAGGTTATCTAATGTTAAAGACAGTCACAACAAAAAGTCTGCTCTTTTGATAAAGAAATACATAAATAATAAAGTTAATTAATAACTAATCAAGTGTTGTTTGTCTTTTTTGGGGATTTTTCTGGACTTTAAAGCTTTAAATTAAAAAATTAAATAATTAGAGCTCATCTTGATTAATTCTGGACTTTTCTTGGTAGGAAATATCATTAAATCACTTTCAAAGTCTCCATAAATCTCTTTAAATTTATTTATTTCTTGAGATAAGGGATCTACAAATTTGTATATGATAAGAACGATTCTTTATAACATCACGAGGGCATCTCTAATTTGGGGTAGGACTGCCAAGGCCTTTCTTCAATGGATCGTATTTCTTATCAGCCGCTTACCGTGGGCATTGTAATCATGAAATGTAGAAAAACGTTACATGAACCCACTTACTGGCATGAATCATGGTATGGTGCATACATATGTGGGTTCAACAAAGAAAGAGAACTTTGCATTGTGCTGATTAGTCAGTTAAAGAACATACATAAATAACATATTAAGTAAAAAGTACGCCCACGTTGTAAATTTTGAGCGACAACCGAAAAGAAGCGGCGACTTGATAAGATTTATCGCAATTATTGGCGACGGATCGTAATCGGAAGAAGTGTCAGACGAAATCAAAGTTTAGGCCGATAAAGTTGATTTATAAATTAAATTTCTAGTGGGTATTACGATAAAGTGTGCGTGTTGGTAACAACGTGGGGAAAATTAAATTCTGATTTTCCGTTAAATGGGTATAGAACTAGTAATTTCCACAGCACACAAACTGACTAACGGTAACGGTATCCTGCGGTTAGTGATAAGAGAGAGAGAGAGAGAGTGACGAGGTCGTTTGACGAACCGGTGTTTCAAATGTCAGGTTTAAATCTCTGGCGGACCACTCAAAGAATCCTGGGGTATTATCAAAAAATCCCCCTTCAAAAGAACCCTACTCTTCCCACACGCTCTCTCTCTCTCTCACTCTCTCTTGCCGCTATCAGCCCGCGAGAGTAGCGTAATTCGAATAAATAGAGGCTACCGCTAAACGCAATATTCACTCGACCGCGTGGGCTCAGAGAGTTAAAACTTCAGTTTGGCCGATAAGGTAATTCAAATAGGGTGTCTTGCCATTCAAATGAATTCAATTTTGGCGCCAAGAGAATCGAAAAAAAACTGTCCCACAGGGTGTGCCACGCAAACGGTGGCAGGTTGCCACATCGGCCGAAGAGAGTGTGCGTGTGAGTGGCGAGTGAGTGTGCGTGCAAAAGAAAGCAGCTGGTGGCAGAATCTCAAATATTGCGAGGAAAATTAATAAACAAAGAGCAGCGCTCACGGGCAGAGCACAAATTGCCTGTTCGCTCGTCAATTGCCGTTAAATAAGTCAACAATTGGCAGCCAAAGACGCCGCTCTTCGTCGCTGTGTGTTTTTTTCGTCGCTGCACTGCGCCCATCACTTTTGTTTCTGCCGTCCAAACGTCACGTCACAGAATCGTAAATTGCTCCGCGAGAAAAGCTCGGAAAATGCATTTATAAGCAGCCATAAGTGCCGAGTGTGATATAATATAGGCGAGGGCTCCAATTTGAAAACCCCTCGGCGGCCCCACAGCTTCAAGTAAGCCCCGTTAATTGCTAGGAAGTGGTTAACCTAAGTTATCCAATAATTTACATCTCCATCAATATTTCGTGTTTTTACCAGTGTGTGTGTGTGATGGTGCGCGTGTGTGAGTGAGTGCGCACGCAGGTGTGTGCTAATAACAAAACGTGGTGCTCTTTCTCTGACCCCCCCAACCACCTTCCCTCTCCTTTCAACCGGCAAAGAGAGTAGTGTATAGTTCTTAACCGTAAATAACCGTAAAACACAATTGTTTTTTGACAGGCGTTTCGCATTTTAAAACCCCCTAACAATGGGCTAGTTTCCCAGACGCAATTTCGGTTTATTGCCTGCGCACTTCCATAGAAAAACCCAATGAATCTTAAGCAGAAAGCGTATAATAATTACAGTTAACGCGCTGTTTTTGAACAACAAGCGAATTAACAATCTGCTGCTGATAAGTATTGCTCTCTTCTATTTCCAACTGTTATCTTGTTTTAGAATATTTTCGGTTTTTGTTGTCAAGTGTTTTGTATTTTGCCTGCTTCAAATTAAATTGTTTATGTGCGCCGACAGCGCAAAATGGTACGCAGTTTGGAATATATATTTTCCCGAAATACACCGAGTTTTTGTCAACACAAAAACGCACAAATGACACTTAATTTGGACACTTAATTGGAAATAGCCCTGAAATTGGAAGCTTTTTTCGGTTAATAATTATCATAATTTATGAGAATGGTAAAGGAACACGTAGCTGATTATATGGTTATCGGCTCGAGTTCCGTTTTGGGGGCGTGGGTATTGCCGTACAACTGGGTAAACAGAGCAGACTGCTATATTATACATAAGTATTCCAATGAACTAGGCAATTTTTCCTTAAAAACATTGCACCGACTAATTGCCGCGATTAGAGCTCCATTAATGGCGCTTCGATTTGGCCAACTCGGTAGCAATACTATACTATATACACCCGATTAAATTCCACACACAAGTAGACATCGCCCGATGCTCTCGGGCTCTTTGTCTTTGTTTTGCTCCGCTCCGTCCGTCATCAATGAAGAGATGTGGAAAGCCTTATAGCAGATATATAGCATCAGTGGGGCAGCAGAGTTTGTCAAGGTGAGCCACTTGGCTCTTTATTGAACAATATGTGTTTAAGAGCTCTTGGCTGCTCAGCCATCCCCATCGAAAATGCACTTGTAATCGCTTTTTACCAAATAAACAGAATCCAAAAATTCATAACGATACACAGGGTCAATGTCTTGTTTTTAACAAGCCATATCGAAATGATTGCCCAATGCAAATGGGCTTGCGAAAAAAATACATATCTGGAAATTTGCTGTGGTAAATTGGATAAAGGAATCTCAATTACTGGACTGAATGAATCATAAAGCTTTGTTTTATTTCCTCATCAAGCACACATATAAGTGAATATAGTATGGCATTTAATATTGCCTTATCAGCTTCTGCGAACTACACTATGTATATTAGTTATTTATTTATTTTTTGCCACGCACGTTCCGGAAAAACATAAAACGTGTTAGTTTGACTTTGGTACGGATAATGATGAAATTGTCTAAATACGAAATAAAATATATGGCTGTCTTGTGCGATAAAGTTTATAGTGCAAAAATTATATAGCGCGAATTTCTTTTGTTTGTTGTTTGCATTATGATAATGCTAATTGAGCTGGAATCACATGCAGATGCTCAATTAAATGGAAATTGTGAGAATTATAAGCTGATGGCAGGTGAAACAATCACAGAGCAAATAGAGATTGGAATAGAACAGAACAGAAATAGGAGCATGTGGAGACTCGCAATTAGTCAACTATAATTTGGATTCTATATTACAGCATGTCTTCGAATGAGGCCTACCACGAGCCGGGAGCCGGTGGAGATGGACCGAGTGAGTCCGCTGGTGGATCCGCTGGAGGCAGTCAGCGGAGCAACCACCTGCACCACCAGCAGATACTCAACGAGACGACCTATCTAAAACCCGCCGCCAAGCAGGCCTATTTCAGTGATGAGAAGGTCCTAATACCCGATGATGATCACACAAATGTGAGTCCACTTTAATAAAATGAAATAAACTTAAAGCATTAACTTATACTCTCTACAGGTCGGTTTCAGCTTTCGCAAGCTGTGGGCCTTCACGGGACCCGGTTTTCTTATGTCCATTGCGTATCTGGATCCCGGCAACATCGAATCCGATATGCAGTCTGGTGCAGCGGCCAAGTACAAGATCTTGTGGGTCTTGCTGTGGGCCACAGTCTTGGGTCTGCTCATGCAACGCTTGGCTGCAAGGTGAGTGGGTCTCTAAGTTAACCCAAGAAATTAGAATTTAACTGTCTTTTATCTCCCTTTTAGGCTGGGTGTCGTCACAGGTCTTCATCTGGCCGAGATGTGCTACCGACAATACAAGCGCCTGCCACGTTGGATCCTCTGGATAATGATTGAGATAGCCATTATTGGCTCCGACATGCAGGAGGTTATTGGCACGGCCATTGCCATATACCTGCTGTCCAATAAAGTGTAAGCATATCTAGTCTGGCGGAATATTGGATTACCCAGTGCTCATGCGGTATTTCCCCTGTTTTTTTTGTAGAGTGCCTTTGTGGGGCGGCGTGTTGATCACCATTGTTGACACCTTCACGTTCCTCTTTCTGGACAAATACGGTCTACGCAAGCTGGAGTTCCTATTCGGCACGCTCATCACCATTATGGCTGTCTCCTTTGGATATGAGGTAAGCTTAAATCGAATTTCGGAAAAAGTCCCCACATTAAAGTAAAGTCTTTATTATTAAAAATAATCCCCGAAATCTACGAAAAATTCCCCTATCTTGAAGTCAATAAAGTAGTCAGCAGAAGCACTTGACAGACGTGAGTGCAAATACAGTTTGTTTAAACAATTGCGGCTAGAGAACATTTCTTGAGAAGCATTTTTACGACTTTGGAAATGCTGTAAATTTTCATTTTCTCAATACAATTTCTTCATTAAAAAAGCGAGCCCTTTAGCTTACCCAATTAACTTAGCCGTAAATTTACGACAGAGTCACGACTACGGTCCAGATAATAAGCAATTGTTCTTGAGCTGTCTACCCCAGTCGGAGAGTCAGATGATTAGATAAGCTGCACTTGCACATTTCGAGGGGTTCTGGCCAGGGGGTTCTGGGTACTTTATCCGTACTTTACTCTGGGCAGGCACATGATGCTGCCGGAAATGACAAACAATTCCAGATGGTATATATAATGCCAGACCCTATCAGTTCGATTATACAATGTAGAATTTTACAATTATCCATTGGGGTTTTTTTAAAAAACACATAATGAAAACAAATATGTATGTTTGCCCTGGGGAATTTCTTTACAAATGATTAAAAAGCTTTTTGTCATTCTATGAGAAAATAATAAAATAGCTTAGGGGGTTTTCTTTGGTTTCCATTATCAATATGGAACTAAATTCCATTGTTTATCTATTTCAGTACATTGTGTCAGCCCCCAATCAAGGAGAAGTTCTCGAGGGGATGTTTGTGCCCTGGTGCTCTGGCTGCAATTCGAGCGTCTTGCTGCAGGCGGTGGGCGTAGTAGGTGCTGTCATTATGCCCCACAATCTCTACCTGCACTCGGCCTTGGTTAAGGTAACATAATCAACGATTTCTTTTAGTTTCCAGTAGACTAAAGCAAAGTTTCTTTAAACAGTCCCGGGATATAGATCGTCGCCAGCCAAAGAAAGTGAGCGAGGCGAATTTCTACTTCTTTATTGAGGCGTCGGTAGCTCTGTTTGTCTCCTTTATTATCAATCTGTTTGTGGTGGCTGTGTTTGCCCATGGCATGTATGGCAAAACGAACAAAGATGTGGTAAGTAGATGATCTTAAGATGCCTATTATCATTCGACTAATCTAATCTTTTGTAACCCTTTTAGCTGGATGTGTGCGAAGGCAAGTCAATGTATGATGATGCCAAACAGTCGTTCGTGGACAGTGTGAACGGAACAGCCATCATCGATGCAGATCTGTACAAAGGTGGACTGTTCCTTGGCTGCACCTTTGGCGCCGTGGCCATGTACATTTGGGGCGTGGGCATTCTGGCCGCGGGTCAGAGCTCCACCATGACGGGCACCTATGCGGGCCAGTTCTCCATGGAGGGATTCCTGAATCTACAGTGGCCGCGCTGGTGTCGTGTGCTGGTCACGCGCTGCATTGCCATCATTCCCACCTTCTGCCTGGCCATGTTCAGCCAGATGGAAGATCTGACGAGCATGAACGACATCCTAAATGCGGTGATGTCGCTCCAGCTGCCATTCGCTGCCATACCAACCATCGCATTCACCTCGTGCGGCGCCATAATGGGCGAATTTGTCAATGGATTGTGAGTGATATAGAAGCATTCTCGGACAGTTTTTAATTTTCTGTTTCCGCAGGGGCAACAAAATCGTTTCCATACTGCTCACCATTGTTGTGATTGGCGTTAATTTGTACTTTGTGGTGGTGCAGGTAGAGAACATGGAAATTAAAGGCGGCCTGCTGGCCCTAGTCTGTGAGTAGTCACTACTATAGTTTTAACTATAAACCAAGGCTAATGTTTTTCCTTCTTCCTCACTCCTTACAGGCATATTTGCCATTCTGTATATACTGTTTAACATATACCTTGTGATACACATGGCTGCTTGCATGGGCAATCAGCGTCTGATGAACAGCCGGGTGAGTACTTGCCGCCACCAGGTTGGACACTTATCTAGCTGGGCTTAGCGAATCACAAATTAGGCGAACGTTTTGACACATTTTAAAGCATCACAGATACCGACATCAATGGACTGACTTTATCAAATTACGTGACTGACCACATATGGTTCTTGAGAGCTTTAGGGGCTTATGCCTACTTCATCTACTGGTACTCAAGGTATTCTCTTTTTACAGTGGGTGCAGCGCTTCGTGTTGCCAAGTCAGAACAGCTTTTCGATAAAGAACGCCAACTCGACGTATGCCAGGTATGTTCCAGATTTGTTTCACCCAACCACATCACCACATCCACAACACACTCTGCACAAACTCTCTCGATCTGCATCTCCTTCTTTGGTAGCTATCTTTCCTAACCTATAGCTTGTGATTAAGTTTCTACCCGCACTGCTCCTCAACCGAATTGGCTTTACTACTTCTAATTTATCCTAATCCTTTACCCATCTGTAAGCTCTCTTTTTCTACCTCTCCTAATCTACATTTGGTTACGATCTCTGAACCGAAACTAAACCCCCAAAACGTATCTTGCTATGCTCTCTTCTCTCGATTCTTCACAGTGATGTAACCTTAGTTGTAGGCGAATCAGCTACTAACACGGTGAAAGGTCTCGATACCGTCTCGGAGAAAGTGCCTAACTGAATCATCCCGGTGAATCATTCAGGCCAGACTCCCCCACACACACCCTTGTGATATTAACACTAAATCACACGCTTAACACTACTAACAAGTACCTAGTAGGGCTCTACGCAACCCTTAGAATTTGTAAGGCATGTCTTTAGGGGAACTACGTTTGTACATACATAGAATACATTTACCCATCATCGATGGGGTCCTATAGATAGTAAGCGTGACTCTGGTAAGTCTCCACTGATTGTTTTATCGAGTAACGGGTATTATGTACTCATAAGGCTTTGGCGCTTAGCATGTTAAATAAAATTGCATTTATCACTAAGTATTACTCGAAAAGTCTTTCAATTTATTGGTAATTGGTATTTGGCCATAAGTGCCAAGAGAATCTTTTCTAGAAATCGAAAATGATCGGAATTAAAAGATTTTCTACAAAATAAAGAAACGAATACCGAAATTAAAGGAACTTTATTATATACCATTTAAGCTTTATAAGAGTTAGTCATAAGACACCTTAGATTATTTTAAGTCTCGGGCAATGGGCATAAAGCACTTTGGGCGTGGCTCATTTTCTCATCTTAATACCACTAAAAAATGTTAAAATAAAAAAATCGTGGCTAATCTTCAAATAATTTTGTATCATGACATTTTTCTTTTATTATATGTACTTGGAAACCCTGTACTCTCTGTATGTGTCTGTGTGTTTCACCACTCTCCCCTCTATCCGTTCTATCCTATACACAATACACCCTACTCTTATACTCGGTGTCTCTACTACTCGACTGGATTGATTGATGTTTTCCCGTTCCCCATTCATTTGTGGCTAATTGAAATGTGCGAAACAAATACACAAAACAACAACTGGTACAAAAACAAACAAACTATTTCAAATTGACAAACACAAAAACAAATTTATACACAAAACACACACACACTACGACCACGAAATTATACTTCATATTTATGTGGAAATGGATTTTTTGGCATTGATACAAAAAAAATTGAAATCACTTTTCGAAACCTTTGATCGAAATTATTCCAAATTGATTTCTAAAGAATTGCGCATAATATGCAAAATTTCAATGCAACATAAGCCAATGCGAAACGAAAACGAAGCTAATTGAATTGGCCGAATTTCGATCGGTTATAGAACGCGTGCCATGACCATTGAAATACTTAAGAGGGTACCAAAATAAAAATCCATTTTTGTTCATTTGACTTTTAATATCATGGCCAAAATGCGGCGCGCCCTAAAATGTGCTGGTCAAAACTGATTTTTTCTCTTTGCTTGGGGCCTCGTCGACCTGAACTACTACCACTTCAATTCTGGATCGGATCCTGCATATAATGTGTATAGCGAGCTGACGCTTAACGATAATGGAATCGCAAGAAACACAATTCAGAATCCAAATCAGAATCTCACCCAACGAAGCCAATTAAGGTAGTCTTAAGACAAATATCGTCAGCTTTTCTAACTCGATTGTATAAGTTGAAATTCACTTCTAGCTACTTTATGTAAATGTTGTAAAGAATTTATGGTCCTAAGATCGTGCACTTTAAGTATTTTCCCTTTAGATGATCTGTCTTAGCTTATTTATTAGACGAATTTGTACGTACTACTCTTTTGAATACATTTTGTTGATATTAGAAGTTTGTATAAATCATTATGTACTTTTAGACCTTGTGTGTATATTAGTAGAAATATTTATTAACTCTAGAAATAAATGAATTTCACAAAACTTTCCACTCTCTTTTTCAGACAATAAAAATACAATTTTCGTTTTTGTGTTCGCTGGTGGTTTTTACTTTATACTTTGTTTGCTTTGAACTTGTTTGTTTACGTGTGAACTTAAGTGTGTTTGGGAATTTCATGATGCGTTTTTATCCGTTTGTTTTGGCTAAATTTATTTATGTGACTAATAATTTGTAAATTATTTTTTGTTGCCTTTATTATGTTTTAATTATTATGGAGACTGTTAGGGCTGACAAGATCGTAGAGAACTTTCGTGTAAAAAGTATAACTTTAACTTTCCGCAGTCAAAATGTACACATTTTTTATAATACTAATTTTACTCTAAAATCTATTACTAAAATATTTTTAATATCGAAGTATGCATAAAAGTAATTTTACTTTAAAATCATTATTGCAAAGAAATATTTTTACTATCAATTTTATTTGTATATAAAAAAAACTTTAGTCAAAACTACAAAAATTAAATTCAATAAATTTATTTTATACTAAATGTTTTTTATGTATTTCATACCATTTATAGTGCTTTCTCAGTAATTATTGTGGTAATTAATCGTAATTATTATTTGGCGATATTATTCTGTTTTAAATTAAATTGAGAGACTGATAGCTATTTCTTCACGTACTTGCTAATAAAGATAGATGACTAGAATAATGGTCTTGTTTCCTAAATGCAATTTAAAGCATGTTTGCGGATTCGGACTGTTTTGGATAGTTTACTTACGGTCAGTTAATAAAAGATTACACATCCAAAACCAAAATAATTAATTCTGTACTAGGTCGGTCGGTTATAATAACTAGTTGTATGGTCTCTAGAAAAAAAGCTCCTAAGGATTACGTAACTATTTCTATGTTTTTATTTAACAGATATTGGTTTATTAATCAACTTGTTGTATGTAAATTTTATGACATCCTTTTATTTAAAGCCTGTGTGAATGTCACAATAACTTTTCAGTAATTTTGTTTTAATTTAATATTGCATTGACGAGAGATTCGCACTCAAATCAACATTCAATACATACCCCTGCATCAGCCATCAATCACTGTTCACTTATAACATTTTCCCCATACATTTCCTTGCAGGATTGCCACAAGTGCCGAAAGTGCTGAGGCGGAGGGGTTGGACGGTGAGGATGCGTAGCCATTACTGTGCTGCACTGATTCCGATGGCAGTGAGGAGGTTTGTTTCACCAACAGCAACAACAACGAGCTCGGCTGCCCCAGCAGCAATCTGAACGGAACTGGGGGTCAGCATGTGGTTCTCAGCTAGCGGTGGCGTTCGAATTGGCTCCGTGAATGCCGCCGCCGTAACAAACCACTCGACAACGGACACGATGTGGCAGAGTTTTCCGGGGGTAGGTCGAAATACGATTTGGCCTGGCTGGTGGAGATGGGATTGGCGTCCGTTGTTGCGTCGGGTATTCTTTTTTAAGGGGTCCTCCGAGAGGACCTGGGATCAGTGTAACACAATAACTAAATTCTAATTTAAACGCATACCAAAAATGGGTAATGAACACTACTTACTGAGAAGCGAGAAGAGACAAAAAGAAAATCCATGAGATCGTCTAAATTATCACTAATCGAAAGCACTTTTAATTAAAGCAAATAGTTATAAAGTCTATTAATAATAAGGCTGTGAAATTAACTGAGCGTAAATCGAACCACATCACTTGTCTAATCGTGTGTAAATCTGCCTGTAAAACTGTATCATTTTGTGTCTCTATATTAGCAGTGTGTGAGTAATTATTTATCAAACCTTTTTAAAATTAAACTTTGTACTTTGTATTTATTTTGTACTGTTTAACCTAAGGACTCCTTCTTTAAAGCTGCACTTTTTAATGGAAACTAAAGGTCCAGTGGAGTACACCATCTCCTAGCTAACCGCATGCATATATTTTAAAAAATTGTTGTGTACAAAAATCGCTATAAATAAAGAACTGTATTATACTAAGAAAAGTCTATGGTCTTTATATTTAAACGTTAAAGATATAAGTTCTGAGAAGAGTAAAAGTTCTAGAGTAATTTGTGCTAGTTACGTCAATAACTGCGATTATGTAAGCCTATCTAAAACGATTAGGTTTAGTTGTATTTAAAATCAGCCAGTGTAATGACCGATTGGTGAATGAAAGTGAAAATTATAGCCCCAATGGCTAATGAGGTAATAATCAAATCGATTATTCTACAAAGTGTTAGGTGTCAGGCGTGGCGGGGGCGTCGATGTCTATTATATCTATTCACTGAAGTGACTATTATCCGATTTGCATATGCATGTAACCTGGCAATTATTCGCCGGCGCTTAATGGTCTATAAAAGCGAATACTTAGTCGCAAGCCCGTCCATTAATTAGCTGACACTAACCGAATCAAAATGAGGTTAACCTTACTCATTTTCTGCCTGTGGGTGGCTCTTGTTTTGGGACAGCTGCGTAAGTGAAAGGATATTCCTTGGAGACCCTCATTCACTTGTACATCTTGTAGCTCCTAAGATTGAGAAATGTGAGGCTGGCGATTCCATCTGCGTAGCGGAAACAATTACCCGAATTCTTCGAACGTACCCCAAGGGTCTAGCCTCCATTGGATTGGATGCCCTCGATTCTATTTCATTTGAGAATGTCATCGTCAGTCGGAAAGAACCAGATGGCCCAGCAACGTTGGATCTTTTATTTAATAACGTAACCGTAAGAGGATTCGCGGACTCTACAGTGGCGGAGGCCAAGGGATTCGAAGCGGATCTGCCGCGAGTCCTGGAGTTAAGTGGGTGGATTCCATTGCTGAAGCTGGATGGGTTTTACGAGATGCATGGTAGTCTACTGACCATGCCCATTCAGGGAAGAGGCCATGCTCTGGTTGAGATCAAGGAGTGCCGTTTCCGCTGCAAAGTGAGGGCGGTGGAGCAACTTCGAGGAGATGGCAAGCGGTATGCGGAGATAGCCAAGGTCAAGTGCTTGCTGGATGTGCAGGGGTAAGTTTATTTTTAAACTTATTAAAAGTTTTTAAGTCTATCCTTCATCAGCATGCATCTTAATTTTGAGAATCTTTTCAACAATTCGGAGCTGAGTGATGCCATGAACGATGTGGCCAACGCCAAGTGGCTGAAAATTTGGCATACCCTTCGCAAGGGTATCACTTCCGCAGTGGATCAACTGGTCGAGTCAATTCTCAAGCGAGTGGCTAACAAATTACCATATGACGATTTCTATAGAAATTAGAAGTTTCAGAATTTTCTAAGCTATTGCAAATTTTTTTGTGGAATATTCAATATCAAAGATTTCCACCTGTAGCAAAGGATTCTGATTCGTTAGAAAACAACGCTTTTCCAACCGGTTTTGAGCTTTGCAACTATAAAAATATCATTTAGTTTTAAGCTTTAGTCAGTGGAAATAATGCAATTGAGCTTGATATATCTCGCACTAGTTGCCCAACTGGTAGTAGCCAATCAGTTGCGTAAGATTCAATAAAGCTTACTTCAACGGAAGACAATAACTTGACATTTCTAACAGCTCCCGAAATAGAAAAGTGTCGCTACCAGGACGAAAATTGTCTTCTGCGCAGCAGCAACTCAGTGATTCGAAAATATGGAAAAACAGGATTGCCGGAGATCAATTTGTTACCACAGAACGCCATTAAAGTACCCCCCTACTCACTTCAGAGGGGGAATCGCGATCTACATTTCTGGCACGACTGGAATGTGAGTGACCAATGGGTCTTCGGTTTCGAGAACACCACCTTTACCAAGTTTCAAGGATTCGACAAAGATCCTAGGCATTCGCAGGTGGAGATACACGGTGGAGTACCCAGCGTAAGCTCTACGTTGAGATTTCAATTTGTATCGCAGTTTCTCACCATAAAAATAAATACAACAGGCCGAGCAAAATCCGATTTTCAAAACTTTCGGTTTATTCTTAAATTTTCCCTTACCGCTGACGACAAAGGATATGCCAAAATCTACAAACTTAGTCTTAATTTGGATTTGGATCGGTAAATTTGATTCCAAATTTTCTATAATGTAGGTATAATTTAATGTCGATTTAATTTTTTAGCTGGATTCAGGAGCTGGATGACCTATTTGTGGGCAACACAGATCTTACCGTGATTGCCAACGAATGGATGAACCGGAACTGGAGGGAGTACTGGGTGGATATAGAGTCGGAGATAACGGAAATCGTTCGACTATTATTACACGAAAAACTTGATCAAATCTTTGCCGTGGTGCCCTATAAAGATTTTTTTCTTTAGGCTTATTAAAAGGTATTGCGTTTACTTGGTGTGTCCTAAACTGACTGAATTATTCTATTTATCGCAAAAAATCACTATGGACGGCAGTCCATGTATTGACGAAGCGCACCAGGAGAGTGTGCGAAGGCGACTACTATATATACACGAAGAAATGAAAATCTACTGTGATGGTCCGATCATAATGAATGATACACCTATCGAAAGGTATTGCGAAAACTAACAGGATTGCATACCAAGACTCTAAGAAAATCAATTGGCTTGGGAGAGAGAGCGGTGAAAGTGAAAAAGTGAAAATTTCGAAATTTGGAGCTGTTGGGGCCGGTGGGGATAAATGCCCCCTCGCAATGTTTTAGTTGTATTCCTTTTGAAAATACCCGTCGAATGAGGGGTCATTTGTCAAAATCCGACGCTCCGTTCAAAAGTTATAGCCAAAATAAGATTTTCTTCGTCTTCCCAAAATGAAAATTTAATTCTGTTTGTCAGTTTGTCAGTTTGTCAGTTTGTCCAAAACATGTTTTTTAAGTTTAGAAAATTTGATATGACGTTCATGACATCGATATAAAAAACTTTTGTTCTACCACTTTTGGAAAAACTCGCTAGTTTAGCGGGAAAACAGCTATAAATAGCTAAAATTCGGAAAGCCGTAACTTCTATACTACTAAAGCTACAAGGGGGATTCCCTAAACTGTTGAATTGCTGAATTGTTGAAAATTCAACAACAAATTTCAGCAATTAAAGGAACGACCCAAAATGGTTCCTGTTGAATTTTCAAACAGCTGTTATTTGTTGAAAAGTTTCACGGAACTTTAAGCATGTAAAATTTGATTTATTATTGCTAGTTACTGTCTAAAAGTGTTACCAAGGTAAAAAGAACCACAAATATGCTTTCTAAGTTAATTTTAAAATAAATAATGCGTACTGGTGAAACTAAAATGTTACAGAGTTGCCACGACTTTTAAAAAAAGGTGACAACTCTGGCTTTTCAGCAATTCAACAAAATTTTCAACAGCCCCGAGGCTGATGAATTGCTGAAATTTCTGAAAGTTGACTTTGTATGGAACAGCTGATTAACAGCTGACCAAAATTCAACAATTCAGCAATTCAACAGTTTAGGGAATCCCCCTACAGACTTGTGCTGCATCTCGTTTGAAAGGTATTTTTAAATGCTATAAACGCTTTCTATATGCAGTTTGTGTAAATGTAATAGTTAAAAAAATATGCACAAAAGACAATTTTTGAAAACTTTTTTTTTAGTTTTTGTTTACTTTTCTCAAAAACGGCTCTAACGATTTTCCTTACAACTTTAAACTGTGCAGTCCTTGAGATTCCTTAAATTTTGGTATATAACACATTACTGTAAAAAGTCACGTTTAAAAGTTATTTTTATACGAAAATAGCCACTTTTGCCAGCTCGAACAACTAACGCCCCCTGAGTATTGAATTTTGTGTGAGGGTATCCGAACTGTATTTAAGGGTCATGGAATCAGTAAATTTGCACTAAAGAGTTCCATATAGGAATCTTTTGTTCTACGACTTTTGGAAAAAGCCGCTACTTTAGCGGGAAAAAAGCTAAAAATGGCTAAATTTCGTTAGTTTGTAAGTTCTACACTACTAAAGGTACAGACATGTGCTATACCTCGTTTAAAAGGTATTTTGAAATACTTCAACGCCTTTTTAACTTAATTTGTTAAAATATAATAGTTTAAAAATTATGATTGACCAATTAAATTTAAATGTATATATTAGCACCTATGAGAGCAAATGTAAACAAACAAAAACTTCTGATATCATATAAAAACACCTCTTAACGAGGTAAAAAACTAGTGACGACCGCACCTTCAACATACAAAAGTTCTGATATCAACATTTGTGACGAAAAATTATTACACTCGTCATTAAATAGACTTTCTAATCTTTTCTCATTCGTCACGCTGCAATAGAAAATGCCTGTAAAGGGAAAAAGGCTGGAATAGTTTGCTAGGGCGGGCCGAATGAGAAAATATTAGAAAGTCTACTTAATGACGAGTGTAATAATTTTTCGTCACAAATGTTGATATCAGAACTTTTGTATGTTGAAGGTGCGGTCGTCACTAGTTTTTTACCTCGTTAAGAGGTGTTTTTATTTGATTTATTACACAGAGAAAAAACAAATTCTTTTCATTTCTTCCAGCTTTAAAAGTAGAAAGATTTTTATTGGAATATTTTTATACTGTTCTTAGTAAAACTGGTAGCTCTCGAATTTAAGAACGGTGAGTCTGATGATTCCATCTGCAATACACATTGTGTAAAGCAAACTTATTAATTTGTATTATTTCTTTTTCACTTGTTACTAAGATTCTGATTCATTATATATAACACGATTTTCAACCTGTTTAAGCTCCGCAACTATGGAACTTATCATTTTGATATAAGCTTCAGTCAGTTGGAATAATGCAATTGAGCTTGATATATCTCGCAATAGTTGCCCATCTGGGAGCAGGCAATCAATGGCGTAGGATTTCATGAAACATACAATAACGGAAAAACATTAATTCTTATTTCTAACAGCTGCTGAAATAGAAAAGTGTCGCTACCATGACGATGAATGTCTCCTGCGCAGCAGCAACTCGGTAATTCGACGATATGGAAAAACTGGATTAGCTCAGATAAATTTGGAACCATTGGACGCTATAAAAGTGCCCCCCTACGCACTTCAGCGGGGGAACCGTGATCAACCCTTCTGGCACGACTGGGAAGTGAGTGACCAATGGGTCTACGGTTTCGAAAACATTACTTTTACCACAGCCAAAGGATTCGACCGAGATCCGAGGCACTCACAGGTGGAGGTACACGGTCAAATACCCAGCGTGACGTCTACGGCCCAATATCAATTCTATTCCCAATTCCTCACATTGAAAGTGAATTCGAAAGGTCGAGGCAAAACGGACTTCCAAAACTTTCGGTTCGTTGTTAAATTCTCGCTCACCACTGACGACAAAGGATATGCTAGAGTCTACAAACTTAGTCTTCATTTGGGTTTGGACCGGTAAAACAAATTTATTTTTTAGAATGTGTATATAATATCAGTTTTTGTTTTAGCTGGATTCAGCAGATCGATGATCTGTTTGTGGGTAACACAGATCTTTCCGTTATTGTAAACGAATGGATCAACAAAAACTGGAATGAGTATTGGGTGGATATCGAACCGGATGTGACGGAAATCGTGCGTCAATTTGTAATTAAAAAGCTAAACTTTATTTTCGCCTTTATTTATTTATTTATTTTCTAAGCTCACTGATTTATTCTATTTATTGAAAAAAATCTTATTCAGGTATGGTGAAAACTGCACCTGGAACTCAGAAGCTTTTCAGCTTAACTCTGTTGATCGACACTGTGAAGAATATTGAAAATAATCTTAGGTACAAGTTATAAGTTATATCTTATAGTTGTAACCTTTCCCGCCGGCATGCAATTATTAATAAAATGTAAATAAATTAAAATTGACTAAATTTGTAATTTTTCGTCTACTTGAATTTATTGTAATTTGAAAATAATAAATGTAAAAGAAATATGAAACCTGCTTCATCTTATTTTAACGATATATGAAGATGCTTACGATATAGACTTTTTCTCAGTGGGTACATAGCATATATAGACTGTTAGAAAACACGTTACGATAATGGGAGCTTTGTAGATTTTCTCATGAATGTTCTGACATAACAAAAAATCGGTTCTGATCAGCGATTAGTTGCAATTGGCCATGCAAGTGCTTCGGTTTACTGAGAGCTTAAGTGAGATCTGTGGAGAATTAGCATAATTCCGCTCTGAGATGCGTTTCCTGGCCTACGTGGTTATGAGCATTCAGCTAATCGCTGGATTTCAGTGTCAAAGCTTGCGTGGGTGTTTTTAAGGATTATTCTTTAAGAACCGGTTAATAAAACTCACTTCTACAGCTGCCAAAGTTAAAAAATGCCATTACGGTGACGGAAAGTGCCTTGTGGAGTCGGCCAATGCCTTGCTGAGAAACTACCCAAAGGGTATACCCGAGGTCAATCTGAAGCCCTTTAATGTGTTACCCGTGAGAGATTGGTTGCTGGTCAACGATTCCCAGGTGGGTGGTGCCTGGTACTTCTTCGAGCTGCTCAACCAGATGAACTACGGCTTCGAGAACACCACCATTACGGAGATCAGGGGATTCGACAAGGATCCTACTGCCACCAAGATCGAAATTCATGGGAAAATTCCCCGGCTGGTTTACAAGGGCGACTATTTGGCCAAAGGTCGGATGCTCTGGTTCGTGGATATAAACTCTCAGGGAACCTCCGAGTCGGACTTCCTCAATTTCCGATTTGATCTTACGTTAAAAGTGCGCATCGAGTACCGAAACAACAGGCGATATCTAAAGATCTACGAACTAGTTCCGAATATAAGGCTGGATCGGTGAGCTAATCAAAATAACATTAATAATCTGAACATTTGTCACGATTTTTCTGTGTTTTTTTTAGCTGGATAATGTGGCTGGACAACTTTTTTCCAGACAACGAAGACCTGACCATAGCTATCAACAACCTGTTTAATAGAAATTGGGTGGAGTTCTGGAACGAACTGGAGCCGGGAATTCTGAAACTGTTTGAAACCGTATTTCTAAGTCTGTTCGAGGATTTGTTCGAGGCAGTACCTTACGATGATCTGTTCCTAGCAGATGAAGACTCCAAATAGACTTTAGCTTTACTTAAATTTATTTGATAGTGTAAATAAAATAGAGTAAATAGTTCTCCCTATAAATGTGTATATGAATTTCATTATTTTGATGAAAAACTCACAACTATGCAGGGTAGAATATATCTAATATAAAAACTGGTTCTCGATTTATGCGCATTCCTTCCAGGTTTGTTGGCCTTAGAAAACTGCGGATAAAATATGAGTCTCATACTTGTTCTAAATTTTACATTTAATAGTCAATTGACTGCTGATGGCAGCACAAGCTTAGACTATGGGCTTGATTTATAATTATCTTGTAACTCTATGCCAATATCGGACATTAATAAATTATGGAATTGAAATTCCAAATGTGTCCTTTGACAATCGCATTATCGACATATAATTTGAGATTAAACAAGCTTTAAATATTTACTTTTTCGCGTAACTTTGCCAGTTCTTTTCAATAGCTGTAATAGTTTTACAATTGGATTGTAATTGATTTATATTTCATATTGATATATTTTATTGATATATTGATTTTCATTTCATTGTAGACAAATTAAATTCCATTACATTGAAGATTTACAAATATTTCAAGTTGAAAATGCAAATAAGACAAGTAGAGCTTTTAACCGGTTTAAGATGCATTCTAAGCGCATAACTAAGTTCCAGTTGTCATTTCACCTCTGAAGGCACCAGAAGTGCACTTAGAATTCTATATAGGAATGCGCGATATAATAATCATTCTGCTGTTCCTGCAGACCCTTAGATCGCTGCAGGGGCAGATGCTACGTAGGTAACAAAGATCAGAATATGGAGCCCGGAGTTCACTAAATAAATATTATTTTCATCGTTATACGACACTGCAGCGAAGGAAATTAAAAAGTGCCACTTTGGAGAATCTCAGTGCATTGTGAATTCTATGAATGCGTTGATAAAGAAGTATCCCAGAGGAATACCATCGCTGGGACTGAAGCCCATCGATGTGGTGGACATCAGGAACTCCAAGTTCTGGAACGATGAGAAGGTCGGTGCGTTCTGGCTGACGTTCGATCTATTCAATCAAGTGAACTATGGCTTCGAGAACACGACGATCACAAAGGTAAGTGGGTTCGATGAGAATCCCACCTCCAGCCTGATCGAAATCCACGGCAGGATCCCCAGCCTTATCCACAAGGGCAGTTATTTATCTCAAGGAAGAGTGTGGATTGTCGAGCTGAATTCGACGGGAGAATCATTTTCGGATTTCCAGAACTTTCGCTTTGTCCTCAAGCTGAAAGTTATCATGGAGTATAGGAATAACAAGAGATATTTGAAGATCTACGAGCTAAATCCCTTTGTGAACATGGACCGGTAAGTTGTGCCCGATAAAATCCGACAGCTGCTAAGTAAACATTGCCATTCCCATTTTAGATGGGTGTTTTGGCTGGACAACTTTTTTGAATCGAACACGGATATGACGATAGCCATAAACCAGGTGTTCAATGTGCATTGGGTGGAGTTTTGGAACGAGCTCGAGCCCAAAAATCTTAAGATATTCGCTAGTGTTTTCCGCGATTTATTTGAGGATGTCTTCAAAATGATCTCCTACGATGACATGTTTTTACCGGTTACCCAAGAGTCTGAAGTAAATGATTAAAGTCGGTTAAAGTTATTACATTCCAGTTTTATTGGAGACATGGAAGGACAAAGATTAATATAGCTAGCAAACCGGTTATACCAATGGATTAGCATTTGTTATTGTTCATAGTGGAAAAGCTTCGTTTGGAGCAGGTTCTAAGTATTCGAGATGAATTAATTATTTCGTGACCGAAGCGATTATTGTTTTAAAGTCAGTTGAATTACGCCAACGTAATGAATAAGTTGTATACGCTGTCTTGGTATTGCTGTTTCCCGGTTATTATCTCGGGAGCGGGTTTACGTGCGTAGGATTTCAGTGCCAGGTTGATCTGCTTTTAACGGATCCCAACATTTCCAGCTGAGGACGTTGAAAGGTGCCACTTTGGAGACTCCACCTGCCTGGTTCGCTCCATCAATGCCCTGATCAAGCTCTATCCAAAGGGAATCCCGGAAATAGGTTTACCGCCGTTGGACTCCTACAACTTTTCGGACTCCATCATTCTGGAATCGCCACACCGCGGGCCCATCTGGATGGACTTTCGGATGCGGGACAATGTGAACAAGGGATTCAACAATGCCACCATCACCCATGTGGAGGGATTTCTGTATGAGCCAAATCAGAAGCATATTGTGATAAAGGCCCGTTTACCACGACTCCTCCACGAGGCCACCTACGAAATGGTTGGCAGGGTTATGCTCTTCTCCTACAACACCACCGGCCGTTTGTCCTCCGACTTGCAGAACTTCCGCATAACTCTGACCCTCAAGACTTTGGTGGAGTACAGGAATGACAAGCGCTATCTGAAGATTTACGATCTAAAGCCCAGCATTGACTTAGATCGGTAAGTAACCAGCATCATCCTAGGCAGATTTTCTTGGCTAACTTCTACGGCATCTAGATGGATCATTTCGTTGGATAATCTGTACAAGGTAAACACGGACGTGACCATATTAATGAATCGGCTGCTCAACGAAAACTGGGTGGAGATCTGGAATGAAATTAACCCTGGCGTAATCAAATCCTTCACCATTTCCTTCACTACCTTGCTTAACAAAGTGTTTGAGAATATTGCCTACGATGACATGTTTCTCCCGCCTCTAGATATAAGAATGGGTACTTAGCTGCATTGACCTTTTAGACGGAATCACATAAAATACGGGTAGCAAACTGGTTTTCAACGCAAGACAAACTGACACTAGGAAAATGTGAGCATAATTCTTTAGATTTGATAAAATGGTAAAGCAAAAGCTGCAAAGGAAAATTAAAAAAGTCTTGATTAATATATAATTCAAATAATTTACAAACAATTTACATTTAGTTCGAGTTTTCTTTGCCCAGTTTGTGGAACTTTCCATCTTCCTCGAGCTCGTCGTAGAAGATATGATCGTTGTAGGACTCATCGCGATGGTACATGTGCTGGTGACCCTTGGACCGACTGCCCTTCTTGAACTTTCGATGGTCGGCGGACAGTTTAAGGAGCTTCTGCCGTTTGTGAGGGCGTCCCAGGAACTGAAGCGGACTGGTCATCTCTTCCTGTTTTACTTTAGATGCAATCCGATCATCCGAAGTCTTAGTTTCTGGATTCTTGGTGTCTTTGTGCTGACGTTTCCGACGCCTAAGGCTCCGTCTCCTGGCAGGTGGTCCCAATGGACGCAGGACTATCCGGAATGGAACCATGTGGAATCGCTTCTTGGGCTTCGGTTTCTTCTTTTTCCACATGCCCTTGTATTGGTCGACCACACTGCAGGTTTGCATATCCTGCGGCTTGGGGATGCCCTCATCCAATTTAGGCGGACACTGCAGTACATAGTAGAGATCGCTGACCTGGGACCCACCAAGATGACTGATCTCCTGGGAGTGGGAGTTGAAATCCGAATCCAAATCCGAGTCAGAGTCCTGGGAATAGAGCAACTGGGCAGCCGGCACCTTGTAGTAGGCGAACATGTTGCGCTCCACCACAATGGCGAAGCTGAGCTGCTGGATTAGGCCCAGTCCCAATGCCAACTGCCACATGGTTGCCACTCAACTGGTTGCAGCCACCGGCTCTGGATTCAGTTTATAAGCTTATTGATTTTCAGGCTTGGCTGACTTGGCTTGCATAAATGTGCTGTGGTTTTGGTTTGCGTTTGGGGTTCAGTGAACCATCACCCAAGACACGAGACACATTCCGCGACCTAGGCCTTGTCCAATCTCTGCTGGAAATAGAAAAACTTTTACAGGCGGAAGTCATGCAATTATCTGTTGCTTTTTAGCCTTGTTTATGCACCTTGTTGCTAATGCAGCCACAAGTGGCTTGTTTTTGTTTACGACCACGTGTTGATGGCGCCTGCGCTTGGGGATGCCATAAAAAGGGGCGATAAATTATAGCAACTGTGAATGATTAAGTCGGATTGGGTTAACGCAGGAAATTCCCCAGACCAACTGTTGCGATTTATATGCAACAGTTCTTGGCGTGCTTGGAAACCATTTACCTTTACAAAACCCAACCATTTGCGGACAGGTGTTTGACAGACCTTTTAGGCATTTCGCGTGTTTGGTGAGTTGCAAGTTGCAGATTTAATGTGTTGCCTATCCCTTTTGGCATCTAATTTGTCATTTATTTTTGTTGAAAACTCAGGATGAGTCTTATTTCCAAAGGTTAATTCTTTACGTAACTACGTACTTAATCTAATTTACTACGTAACTACGTACATAATCTAATTTACCTCCCGCTTAAGAAATATTGTGAAAAATCACCTACAAGTCAAATTAAAATATGACAATAAATCGATTTATAAAAAAAAGTTAAAAATGATAAGTCCCAAAAAAAAATAGCAAAAGAAAAAAATGTCACTTACATTTTTAATTATATTGCGTTTAAAACACTGTCTGAAGAGTCCAAAAATATAAAATAAATGGAAAAGGAAATTAAAATTATTATGCTTAATTCACATAAATCATAAGGCTGTTACTAAGCCATAATGAAATATCACCTCTAATCTTAATTGAATAATGTTCACCTCCACTTGCTAATCAATTAGCACATAATCAATCAATGGAAAGTGTGCAAATCGAAGGAACTTAATTTGCAAATGGCGTGCATTTCACCATTAAAACGGAAATAAAGCGCAACAAATGGCCGCCGGCTTGGCAACCAACTTGGCAACGGGCATTATGGCACAGGAGAAATAACAAACAGTAGTCACTGGCCATAGGTGGATTTGAGGGGCAAAATCAACAACTCCTTAGCAACGGGTCCTGCCACGATCACTTTCGCACCGGAATGTGCGTGTCGTGTCGGCAGCGGAAATAACAACCCATTCAGTCGCTTACCAGCAGCCGAGGTAAGCAGTCGCAATTGGAAAAGGAAAAATCCGTGGAAAACCCTTTGGGGAAATCAATTAAAGCATATAAAATATGGAAAAAATTTTAAATTAATGTAGATTCAGCAAAATTATTGAAATTCTGGATGTGCTCAGTGAATTTAAAAAGATAATGCATATTTCTTTTGCTTTTAATTGGAAATATTTAAAGTAATGCCTCCTTGTGAGTTACGTAACTAGTGAAAATTGTGAAAAGTCTTAGATAACACTAAGAAAACCATAAAAAGGAAAATATAAAGTTTTTTTTGGCTAGTTCTAACCACAGCAATGAAACAAGATTTCAAAATTTTCGAAAGAATCCTATTGATTTGCAATTTTTATCGATTTTATATAGTTAGTTGTTAGTGGTAACAAGGTCAGGCAAACACTCAGATATGCATGTGCACCTCATCCCCACAGCAAACAACAGACAACAGCAACAACTAGACAACCTAAAAACCGGAGAAGGAGCAGAAGCACCACAGCAACCAAACACCCCACCACCCAGTGGGTCGCGATGGAGCCATCCACCAGCGCCGAGGCCGCTGCTGCAGCGGCAGCTGGTGGCCCGGATCCGCGCCTGGAGCTGATGGGCTCCTTCGTCATCAAGTCACTCAAACTGAAGCCAGAGAAGTGGACACGGGTCATCACGGTGGAGGAGCACAAGGGCATAATTAAGGAGTTTCTGGACAGGAACACCCCAGTTGTCCTCATCATCATACTCACTCCTGCCGCCCAGTTGGTTCCCTCCACCACCTTTCCACTGTCACAGCTAAAGAGCAAGGGTGTGTACTTCATCAAGCGCTATGCATTGCCCATTCCTCGAGAGGATTGCGGCAACTTCATCATCTACGGGGACTTGGCCACCCGCACCATTGACCAACTGTCCGCCCTGGTGGAGGAGGTACTGGTGCCCCTGCTGTCCAACGAGGACAACTACCGCAGCTGGCCCATAATGGTGGCCCAGGATGTGCAGAAGCATGTGCACAGCCTCAAGAGCACCGTGCACCAGGTGAAGGGCCAGGTGAGTGGAGAGACCATCCTGGCCATGCCCGTGGGCGTCGAGAAGATCGTGAAGGCGGCCAAGGAGCTGGTCGAAACGGAACAGTGCCAGTTCGATTTGTACCTGAAGAGCGCCATCGAGGGCGTCGTCATCAAGTGGGCCACCCAGATCCACGAGGTCATCAAGGAGAGTCCCTCGAACGCCTTCGCCAATGGCCAGAATCCCACTCCACACACGGGTGAGTACGACTCGGTGATTTGATGACTCGCTGACTCGGTGCCATGTGTGCCGGTTTTATTTTTGGCTCCCTCCATTTATTATTTATTGATAAAATTCAAGTCTCCCCATATCCTAGCAACCCAGAAATTTGCATGTTCATACTCATCCAAAAGTTTGGTCTTCCTTTATTATCTGTTCACGAATGACATTCCGCGTGCATGCAATATTTATAATTTTACTACATAAGACCAAAGGGGTTCTTTGCTTTTGCTTGTGTTACGCGTTCACGTTTGACATTGACAATTGAGTTGATGGCTTGATGGGATTGCGAAAGCTAGGGATCTGATTTGCCTAATTTACTTACGATTTTTATGGTTTTAGTTGGGGGAAAAAGCGGAAATTTACCAGCAGACATAAAATCGATAGAAAAGTCCAGAAATTGCCTATGATATGTGTAATAAGTAAAAAAGATACCTAGAATTGAAATAGTTCGGAAGGTTACAAGATTATTTAGGATTAATAATTAATAACTGTTCAATAAAATTCCACAAAGAATTTAATTAATGCTCAATAGACCCTTCAATATTCGTTATTTACTTTTAAAATGGTTCGAGATTGTGTCTTTACTTAGTTGTTAATAACTTTAAACACTTTTTTGTTTAACAGCTAATTAAAACGGAAATAAGACTTAAATCCTTCTTTACCCTTACACTTTTACCCCTAATTAATAAAATTGACTTTAGATATTAGTAATCAGCATTGCTCCATCTATCTCCCCCAACAGAATTTTCATTTTGGAACAATCGCCTCAAGAATCTGTCATTTATTTACGACCAATTGCGCAACGAGCGGATTCGTGCCATGGCTTTGATACTGGAGTACTCGATGAGTGCCTACCATCCGTGCTTCCAGACCCTCTTCAAGAACGTCGTTACGGGTGAGTGTTGTGTGGTGGCGAAAAGCGAAACGAGAATTTGGCATGCCAATCGGTGATTTCCGTAGCTCTGGCGGAGGCAAAGGACATAACACTCTACCTGAACCCCCTGAAGCGCCCTCTCCAGCACCTGGAGGAGATTGATTTCGCCGAATGCAAGCCGCTGCTCATTCCGTTCATGAATACGGTGGGAATATTGTGGGGAAACTCGCGTTACTATTGCCAATCGGCGAAAATAACAGTGCTGTTGCAGGAGATATGCAACTTGATTATACATCAGGTGAGCTACTTATAACAGGGACCGTAATCATTATAAGTAATATTTTAAAAATTACTTTGTAATGATTACTTATCGATTTTTAATTTTTTAAATCAAAACTAATAATTATTTTTGAGCAAAAAAAATAAAAATCACAAATAATCATTATTTTTGAGCAAAAAAAATAAAAATCACAAACAATCATTATTTTTGAGCAAAAAAAATAAAACTCAAAAATAATGATTATTCGTGATTTTTATTTTTTTCGCTCAAAATAAAACTCACTAAGCAACAACTTTTAATCCTTTAAGGATATTGCCAATATTGTCCTATGTCCTTATAAAGGGACCCTAGAGCAACAATTGACAACAACAACAAAACGTATTTTACCTGTGTTTGTTGCAATTATTTAATATAAGGTCAACTGTTACATACAGATCAGCAGCAGCAGATATACACAATTACTAAAACAATGATTATAATGATAATGATAATCATCATAATGATCAACCAGTAGAGCAATTAGGTACATTAATTTTCAATTTATTATGCATTTATGTATTTATATAATTTTTATTTAATTTTAGGAATAACAATTTTGACAGCGACTCGCTCGACAAGTTGCACCTTTGGTCGGTTAGCATTATTTTAAGCGCAGAAAAGGCACGCTCTACGCTAACTTGGGTAGCTGGAACCGCAAGCACCACCTTAGCAAGCTGATATAAATTATCATTATAATCATTGTTTTAGTAATTGTGTATATCTGCTGCTGCTGCTCTGTATGTAACAGTTGACCTTATATTAAATAATTGCAACAAACACAGGTAAAATACGTTTTGTTGTTGTTGTTGTTGTCAATTGTTGCTCTAGGGTCCCTTTATAAGGACATAGGACAATATTGGCAATATCCTTAAAGGATTAAAAGTTGTTGCTTGGTGAGTTTTATTTTGAGCGAAAAAAATAAAAATCACGAATAATCATTATTTTTGAGTTTTATTTTTTTCTGCAAAAAATAATGATTGTTTGTGATTTTTATTTTTTTTGCTCAAAAATAATGATTATTTGTGATTTTTATTTTTTTTGCTCAAAAATAATGTGTAACAATAGAAGAATAAATATAACAATTAAAAATTAAAAATCATCAAGGATATTCATAGTGTAGCCTTAAAGGATAAAAACGTGCTAGTCAAGCTTGTTCTATGTTGATTGGAAGTGTATGATTTATTCATTTAAAAATAGCGAAAATAATCATTATTT